GTCGTCGCCTCCGTCTCCCGCCTCACATGGGCCTTTGCCCGTGACGGAGGCCTCCCATATTCCAAGTTCTTCGCCCACGTGGACGCGACATACCACATCCCCATCCGCGCCATCTGCCTCGTCTGCTTCACCGTCCTCCTGCTCTCCCTCGTCAACATCGCCTCCACCACCGCCCTAAGCGCCATCCTCGCGCTCACCACTAGCTCCCTTTTCATTTCATATATCATCCCCATCGCCATGATGGCCCGGAAACGGATCCGGAAGGAGCGGATTGCGTTTGGCCCATTTGCCCTCGGACGGTGGGGTCTGGCGATCAACATCTACGCTATCGTTTTCGGTATCTTCATATGTACTTTTGTGTCGTTTCCGACCGAGATCCCCGTGACGGCAACAAACATGAATTACAGCGGCCCGGTATTCCTGGGTGTGAGCGTCCTGTTGATTTGTGACTGGGCCGTAAGGGGGAGAGGGAGGTTTACAGGGCCGTTGAAGGAGTTGTTAACGCGGGGCGCTGAGATGTAACACCATTCCTTCTTAACAATATCCTGTAATGAGCTGGCTCTCAGAGGACTACCCCATACCCTGACTGGATGTGTAGTTCACCACTACAAACACTGGGAATACCACGCATTTATCACAGTGCAGGTATACCCGCTCGCACACACCGTAGGCCCCGTCCACCCGGACCCTCCACACTGACCCCAGTGCGCCGCCACACCAGTGCTAGTCGACGCACCCCCAGACGACGTCGTCGTACTCGTCGTAGTAGCCTTGGTCGTAGTCGTTGACGATCCACCCGCAAACCCAAACCACTCCATGTCCTGTGCACCATGAATAGGAACCGTATGCCCGACACCGGTTGCAAAGATCCCCTGCAGATTAGGGCCCCAGTTGGTAGTCTGGTAGTTTGCCTCGGGGGTGTTGCTCTCCGTTGACTGCGGAGAGTCATAGGTGTACCCGAAGACACCCGCCCACTGCTTGCATGTTTCGTAGTAGTTCTGCGGGTAGAGCGTCGTGTCTACGCTGCCGTGGTAGATCTGCATGCGCGGGCGCGAGCCGGTATACCCCGAGTACATTGCTTTGGCGATGCCGCCCCAGACCTCCGGTGTGCTGATGATGTCGCCCTGGGCGCAGCTGCTGTTCCAGCCGTCGACTTGGTTGGAGGAGGAGTAGAAGCAGCCGGCGGGGACGCCGGAGTAGACTGTGGCGGCGGCGAAGAGTTCGGGGTATGTCGCGGCCATGACGTTCTGCATCCTGACAGTCAGTAGGTGGTTTGCTTTGTTCATACTGTGATGCCTACCGTCATCATGGCGCCAGAGCTGGACCCGGTCACGAACACCTTGCTGGTATCGGCACTGTATTGGCTGATGGTCCAGGTAACCATGTTGGCGATTGAATTGCTGTCGCCGCCGCCATTGTGGTTCAAAGCGGACTGGGAGCTGACGTCCCAGCAGGTACCGCTATAGGGACTCTGGGGGTAGATGACGATGAAGCCATACTGCTCAGCCAGCTGTGCGTAGGGAGAGCCAGTGTAGTATGCTTGTGCAGTTCCCGTGCCTGAATAGTGTCAGCAAGTTGCAGCTAGTTGCATTGGGTGTGCTCCACACAGTAATGAATAGCAACGACGATTCCAGGCTTGGTGGCCAGATTCTTAGGCACATAGATGTACATGAGCGTGCCAGAGGGGTTAGATCCAAAGTTAGTCACTTGCTGAAGAGAACCGCTGGTGATTCGCTTGACGACATCCTTCCCCGGAGAGGCAGAGGATAGGGCCAGATAACAGAAAATGGCGATGAGGAGGGATAGAGCTCTCATTGTGTTGTTAGGAGAACAGGCAGTTCTGTTATGCAGTGGTCAGAGAAACATAACACGTTCAGGTCAATGGGCTGGCTGGGTTTTATCATCTTGAAGCTGATTACCCGGTTCTCCCTCCCGGCAAGTCTACCAATTCTGGCTAAATTCTCTATAACAATCGGACAAAAGGAACTGAGAAGTGAGACTTCCTCAAACACTGGTATTGCTGAGCACAAGGATAGCGCCTTTCCCCGCATCCCACACGTCAACCATCCTGCAGATCGACTCGTGAAGAAGCTTATTTATCCAAAACAAGCTGCTTGGGTTCTGCAGCGGGAAATCGGTCTTCGGGCCGGAGTTCCTGAATCATCAATGAATAAGCTTGACGGAATAGCAAAGAGAATTTCCCCATCCTGCTATTGTGCAGGTCATCTTCTACATCTAACCGATTGGAGTTGAGTTACGAAGCCAAGGAAATACGCGGTAGGGCTTGTGAACGACTGCCGTTGCTGATGCATATACAATGCTGCCAGTACTCAGAATACTAAGGTGGACCCCCTTAGAGGCTTGGACAGGACTACGTAAACGTTTCACATCTGATACTGTGGGCTCTGGTGGAACTCCAAGTTTGGAGCTGCAATGAGTCCATGAACGCCGTTTCTGTTTTGTGTTCATGCCATAGCAGAACCTGTTCGTCTACTAATACTCATTTAATAAAGGTTTCCCTTCGTGATTTGTTCAGAACTACTCCCATCGCTGCGTCGTCATCTTACAGTTTTTGGTTATGAAAGCATTGACCAAGTGACATCCTATGATGTGCTATGCATATTTCTGAATATTGCAGTAGCCATTAAGCTCTCTTGCTCGGAGCGCGATCTCCGGGGCCTAAATAGACGGTTAAACTTCCCAGGACTGTAAACCTACGTTGGCAGGCTTAATTACAGCGACCGGGCCGGCCATACACTCTAAAGATGCAGATCTATATTTATACAGCGTATCCACTATTAGGGTGATCGACGGCTCTGGTCTATCAAGATCGTCTAATACATGATGTACCTGTCTCACATGTGCGTGATGCGGTCACAGACGAGTGTCCTGCACCAATGTCTTGAACAAAGCATGCACCGCTCTACAGAGTCTCACAAACATAGATTCCACCAGCTTGAGTTCCTGAATTACTTTGCCAGGCAGCCCAGACCTAGGATCTTGACATAGCAAAACTTATATGGGACTCTTTGAACAGTTTGGCCCTAGAACTTGGCCAAGTATCATACTGAAACAGGACTTATCACTGACAAATACGGTAGTGCGCCGTTGGAGTGGTTTTGCAGTCCACGTCAACGTAGGCGACAGATTTCCACACTCTAGCGACTGTCCTGAGCGTTGCCAGCAACGGTAGCAGGATCCTGGTATTTGGATCCAGGCTCATCATGTTGCTTGTTGGCTTCTTGAGCCTGGCTCTCTCGAAAAGATACACGCGCTCTAACGGAGATGTTCTCATCGCGGTAGGCCGGGTCAGAGTCCAGGCGCTTTGCACGGACGAACGTCAAGACGGAGCGGCGGAAGGTGGCGACTGGGATTTTGATTGGAATTTCGATGAATATATCTTTCGTCCATTGAGGAGTGTTGATCAGATAGCGAACGGGGAATGGAACGTCGGCGTCGAAATCAGCGGCATATTGATCGAAGACAACGTCGCGCCAGGTTTTATTGAGGTTTCTGGTTGTCATGGCGAGAATCAAGGTTGAATATGGCGTCTAGCTGAATTTTATGTGCTTCTAGGTCGTCTGTGGAAAAAGGCAAAGTTGGAGACGGAGACTTGCAAGTCGCGACCACAACGAGGCTGATGCTCGGCGCGGGTCATATTGGCCGTGGACTTTAGGCAATCAGGTGTCTCTCCTACTAGCCAGAGTCCAAGACTAAACACTAATATAACTAGCTACTCTATATGACTCTTTGATGATACATGCTGACATATATAGAGAGAATTGTTGCGATGGCTCTTGCCTTTAATATGGACCAGGATGACTAGATAGATATATTGTCAAGGAGCAAAGTCTGGAATGGACAATTTGTTTATATCAGTGAGATGATCCAGACATCTCTCCGCTCTGACCCTTTAATTGTGAAGCTATTTATAGCTCAGTGCTTCTTTGCTAAATCATTGGTTCGGCAGGAAGATTCCCCGTGTTAAATGCCGTCCCAGTGAGCAATTAGTTCTCGTGTCTGAGATGCAGATGATCAGATAGGCTGATTGGTTCTATATAGGAGAATAAGGCTACCCATCCAACCCTTGAGCACGCGAACTTCCATCCTTCAACAGCTGTAAAGTGGACCAGGTCTTATCAGTGCTGCAACAATGGCTTCACAGTGATCCTCTGACTCAAACTTTGATAGGAAAGTCAGAGAAATGGTAATCTATCTGTATTCAGATAACACCATGATTTCTGTTATGGTTACATCCATGCAGACTACAGCAGTTTGTATGCTTTGCTGGCAGTAGATATATAATTTTGACCAGAATAAGCAAGCTTCAACGTGATACTGTCCAGCTTATTGTCCTAGAATAAAAGCCAATACAGCGTATTAGCTCTTATCTTCAACCCTTTTCAGGGTGCTACACTTTTGGTAACGTTACATCTCGCTAGAGTCTCGTATCTGACACCTTATCTTGCCTAGCCTCTCGCCAAGCTGTGTTCCATCCCCTTCAGAAAGTAAAGCTCGGTCAGCATATGTTACAGCGTCTTGTGGCTATCCTCAAAGCTTCCCAAGCATGTCACTTCGCCTGGCTTAGTCCCATGGGTCTCGAACCGAAGAGTTGCGGGGGTGGGACCGGTACAGGCTTGGACGATGCTTAGTCCTTCGATGCGGGGTCAGGGGGTCAGGACTCAGGAGCAAGGCTGACGCTGCTATGCTACCCGACTCCTTTGTATCAGCCACCAATGACTCGGAGCCGTAATCCGGGCTGTATTATTGGACAGATTCTGGTGACTGTCAGCATGGCAACAATCGATTTAATACTGAATACTACGTTGAAGAGATGGAGTGTAGTATCAGTTTCACGTGGCTCTACAGGGAAGCTGTTCCTTTCGTTGCTTATCAACACTGAGAACGAAATAAATTAAGATGCTTTCCCGTCATCAACAGCATCGTTGTTCAGAGTTTTCATTATCTGCATCGGTAATTGTCTCTGCGCACACTCCACCATGTCTGTGGAAACCACTTCCCACGACCACAGTGAGGTCATCGACGCTCCTCCAGATCTACCAGCAGGATGGATGTACAAACAGCGTCGAATTTTCGGCCTCAACATCCCCTGGTATGCCTCGCCTAGCGTCCAGTTGTTGTTGGTGGCATTTGTCTGCTTCATGTGCCCCGGAATGTTCAACGCACTCGGGGGCTTAGGCGGTGGTGGAAAGACGGATGCGACTTTGGCAGACAACATGGTGCGTCAGACGTCACTGAATTCGTAAAGAGTACCATTGACTATGAATAGAACACGGCTCTTTACAGTGCTTTCGCAGTCTTTGGCTTCTTTGGTGGCACGTTTATCAACAAGCTCGGCGTAAGATGGACTCTCGCTTTTGGGGGAATTGGATATTGCATCTACGCCATCAGCTTGCTGGTCTCGGTCCACGCCAGCGTTGCCGGCTTCAATCTCTTTGCCGGTACCTGGCTTGGTATTTGTGCCGGTCTTCTGTGGACTGCTCAGGGTACCATCATGATCTCCTACCCTACTGAGGAACAGAAGGGACGGTATTTTGCTTGGTTCTGGGGTATATTCAACATGGGTGCTGTTATTGGCAGCTTGGTACGTCTGTCTGCTTAATGTATTCTTACAGACTGACTAACGCGCGACTTAGATTCCCCTCGGAGAAAATATCCATGTCAAGACAAACTCTACCGTTTCCGACGGTACTTACATCGGGTTTATCGTCTTGATGTTTATCGGTGCAATCCTCGCTCTCTGCCTCTGCAACGCTAGCGACATTATTCGACCCGATGGCAGCCGTGTCATCTTGATGAAGCATCCTAGCTGGCAGTCCGAGCTGTACGGCCTCTGGGAAACCCTCCGCTTCGAGCCGTTTGTTGTCCTCCTTTTCCCCATGTTCTTCTCTTCAAACTGGTTCTACGTCTACCAGCAGAACGCGGTTAACGGCGCTCACTTCGATACCCGAACCAAGGCTCTTAACAGTCTTCTGTACTTCTTGGCTCAGATCATTGCAGCTGCCATCTGGGGATACCTTCTCGACGTCCAAGGCGTCCGTCGTTCCGTCCGAGCGAAGATTACCTGGGTCGTTCTCGTCATCCTCACCTTTGCCATCTGGGGCGGTGGATACGCCTATGAGAAGACATATACTCGCGAAACCGTCAATCCCAAGCTCAACCCCAATTTTGTCCCAACTGACTGGGAGACTCCCGGCTATGTGGGCCCAATGTTTCTGTACCTCTTCTACGGCTTCTACGATGCCGCTTGGCAAGCTAGCGTCTACTGGTATGTTACGTTCTCGTCAAACTTGGTTATTTGATTTACTAATCGCCATCAAACTATGTAAATAGGTTCATGGGCGCCCTCTCCAACTCCGGTCGGCGCTCTGCCAACTACGTCGGCTTCTACAAGGGTATTCAGTCCTGCGGTGCGGCTATTGTGAACAACCTTGATTCGCGCAAGCTCTCGTACAAGAAGGAATTCATCAGCAACTGGGTTCTCCTCGCCGTCTCCCTCGTGTTCGCCGCCCCCGTCATCTTCCTCAAGATCCGTGATCACATTGATGTTCATGATGATCTTGCGGGCACGGACGAGACCATAGCAGATGTGCTCCCTGCTAACCATCCCGAGAAGGCTGTGGCTTAGGACTAGGATGTTTACATTCTTGATTCCGGGTTAGATGTACCCGTTTTGGTCATTTGTGGAGTCTCTAGTCTAGTATATAATACGCTGAACAGCTAATTATGCAAGTCCTGCAGTCATGTGCCTACTAATTTTATGATCATCAAGACATGTAAAAATACCGCAGTAGGTATTTATCCCAAGAGTATCACTGGTTCCTTCAAGGGCACGGCGCCCCACATAAATAAAAGTCATTACTATGCTTCCTCAGGGACTGGAGTTATGTGTGATTGGCAAACCAGCCACCGCCAAGATATTATCCCTGACTGACAGCTGACCAAAGTTTCCATCGACTATGCCCCTTCCATGCTGCCCTTCATTACTTGTCCTTAAGTCATTGTGGTCTGCTAATTCAAACATGTTGCATGCAAGAACAGTACGATCCCGAACACCCCGTTTTGGACAGCGAATCTCGCAACACTACCTCATGTCGCAGATGTCCCGATTCAGCAAGGAGCCACTTACCCTCGGCACGATGCTCAAGAGCGACTCTGGGCAAATGTATAAAATCGAAGAAGTCCTTGCTAAGCGAAGAAAGCCCCTCTTATGTGTATACCGGGCGAGGTACGTTGATCCTGAGCTGCTTGCAACTCTCTTGCTAAATGCGCGGTAGTGCCGACGGAAGGAATTTCATAGCGAAAAACATGATTCAGGGAGAGTTTGAGTACCAGCTGAGCCTCCAGAAATCGCTGTCGACTTGTCCAAATATACGAGGAGTGCTTGATACCGTCAAAGATCTGGAGATATTCATCTATCCGTACCTGTCTGGAGACCTACTTCGTTTAAGTCGGAGAAAATTATCGGAAGATACGAGGAGATATATTCTCCGAAGTGCTTTGCAAGGCCTGGTCGATCTCCATGATAGAGATATTCTCCATAACGGGAAGTATCCAGTCCAGAGAATGACATGACCATGCTACTGACCGTCTGTAGACATCAAGCCCAATAATATTCTTGTAGATTATGCGGAAAGTGCTGAGGGTGGAGTCGTTGTCAACAACGTGCAAATCTCAGACCTCGAGGATACAGTCATTGTACCTAGAGGGAAATGGCTGACTGGTCCGCTATGCGGCAATGCAATATGGAGGAGTCCTGAGAGCTGGTGCCGATCACGCCAGAACCAAGCCTCGGATGTCTTTTCTTTTGGGGTTGTAGTATGACCACCCTTCTCTACCCACTTTGTGGTTCCAGATTGCTAATGCCTTTTAGATGATCTATGTGATGGTCAATGAGATGGTCTTCCGTGTCAACGACGACGAACTAAACTCCGCGGACTCATGGCGTCATGTCCTTCGCCGGCATGTATCCTATTTTGCGGACGAAGATGGCCTCAATGGGTTTCTTGAACATATTGGAGAAGAAAACCCCTTTTACGAACGTTTGATAGATCTCGTCAACACATTTGGTCCAGAGAATCCTAGACAGCCTTTTGAGCGATGGGGCTATGTAGAGCCCGATCTTAGGGACCTGGTTGGCAAGATGACGAATTTAGACCCAACCAAGAGGATAACTTCAAGGGAGGCGCTCCAGCACCGCTGGTTTAGAGAAACTGGTTGATAACTTGAGTGTTGTCTTTAGCAGTTGAAGAGTTGCCTAGGGGTCATTGGAACAGATGATCGTACTTGGAGTCATTTTTAGGCATAATTGCCGACAGACCACAGTATAGGTTGGGATCAGCGGAGGCGAAATATATATCGTGGTATAGCCTCGGTCCATCCTTTATCCCACACTCGATTCAACACTCATAAGGCAATAGGACTAGGGCCTCGTTTGATCCACACCTAGCTTAAGCAGTATTCTAGCGTCTATTCGATCATCCGAGACATGTACTTGCGTCTCGGGCGAAGCTAAGCAAAAGCCGAGCGATCGCCGCTTCGGCCGAAAGCAAAGTCGGGCCCGGAGATGACCTATTCCCTTGTTGTTCCACTTTCCTGCGCAAAGCCTTTGTTTAAGGAAACTGCGAGTGGTAAAAACATATTTAGTCCAGTCTGCATCAGCGATACGTGGTGCAATTGAGCGCATCCAGCACACGCCTCTATGTCTTGTTCCCGGGCCTTCAGTTTCCGCAGTCTTACTCTTGCCAGATTCAACCCAACCTCGAACCGCTTTGCTTCTTCGTATCGCAAGATGGGCGAGCATATTCTCGACAAATATCAAATCCAACCACTGCGTTCAGATTCTGTGCCGTGGCGTCGACAGCCGGGGCAGCAGGTACTGTGGATTGGCTGCTCGGATAGCGGCTGCGATGAACTGGAGACCTTGGGTTTGCCTTCAGATGAGATATTCGAATACAGGAGTTTGGGGAACATGATGGTGGACGACCTATCTTGCAATACGACCTTGCGATATGCTTTGGACTCGCTGAAGGTGAGTCCGTTGTTCCTAGGAGAGGGGTGCGACTAACTCAGCCAGATCCGGAATATCGTTATATGCGGACATTATGGGTGTCATATTGCAAATGGAGAAGTAAATACCGCCTTGCAAAAACCCTGGAGCAGGTAAGCTATCAATATTTGTCGCTGTGGCCTATACTGACGAATAAGTATACTTGACACTCTACATTCGACTCATCATCACACCCTAGACAGCCTGAAAGGAAACGAACGCGACCGCGCGCTGGTGGAGCTAAATGTCCTTGAGCAGGTGCACTCTTTGAGCCAGTCCCCTGAAACTGCAGAGGCTTTGCAGGAGGACAAGCTGAATATATGGGGCATGGTCTACGACAAGGCGTCGAAAACAGGTTATCAGTTAGTAGAAGCGTGACGGTGATCAGCTATTGACCGTCTTTAGAAAATGAAAAACATAGACGAGACCGAGAACTCATAGATACTGTGTTGAAGAGGGAACTTGCTTGTAGATCCTCTCGATTAATGCCAGAGAGCTTTATAAGCCAGTTGGCAGCAAGCGTGCCTCAGGCATATGTATTTGCGCCACAAGCCCACAACACTCCCCACGATGAACGCCACATTATGTCCACATGAATCAGGCCATCCTCCGTACCCACAAATATTCGTGGCGTAATTCCTCCAAAACTATCTTGTGCATCATTTTCTTTTTTCATGTCAGTCCATTATGGAGCCTTCCGACCAGAAACGGGACTCTGTCCCGCAGTATCTCAAACAGTCGCATGAGCGCATCTTCGAGAACAATCGCGCCTGGGTCGCGACGAAAATGAAAGAAGACCCCGCGTTTTTCGAGAAGCTTTCTGCAGGGCAGACTCCTGAATACCTGTAAGAGAAGACAACAGTTCAGCAGTCTCTCATCTGACAAGACCAGGTATATCGGCTGCAGTGACAGTCGCGTCCCCGCCAACGAGATCATGGGTCTTGAAGCCGGGGAGGTCTTCGTCCACCGGAACATCGCGAATCTGGTCCCCAACACGGACCTCAACGTGATGTCCGTCATTAATTACGCCGTCCGCCATCTGCAGGTCAAGCACATTGTTGTCTGCGGCCACTACCACTGCGGCGGTGTCAAAGCCGCTCTGACGCCCTCCGACCTGGGGCTCCTCAACCCCTGGCTTCGGAATGTGCGCGATGTGTACCGTCTGCATGAGCGGGAGCTAGACGAGATTAAAGATGCAACTGCCAGATATAAGCGCCTCATCGAGTTGAATGTCATTGAGTCCTGTAGAAATGTGATCAAGACGGCTGCGGTGCAGCAGAGCTTTCATGAGCGGCAGTTCCCCGTTGTGCATGGCTGGATATTCGATGTGGAGACTGGTCTCCTTAGGGACCTGGAGATTGATTTTGAGGAGACTTTGCGGGATATCAAGAAGATATACAATCTTGCGCCGGGCTCTTAGCTCTCGCTTTGCAGCATGCACGAACCACATACCATTTTCAGTGTGTCACGTCAATTAGAATGTTCAAATCCAGTGGTAAGACACTCAACTGTAGGAATCTTATAATTTGTACCCGGAAGTAACCTTGCTTGATAAAAGTCCAACCGCTGCCACGGCATTGGCACCGAATTTATGACTTTCCTAGGCTGTGGAGAATATGAGGGCCTTAATCGCTGAGGGCGTTATCCAAACCGTCTTATAGCATGCCAGTTGATACCACAGAAGGTGGACCACCTGTTGATCGGTTGGATATAGGGAAGTGTCAGCCATATTAATACTAGGCCAAAGAGAGGTCCAGACTACCATTTCTAGCTTAGTAGCAATAGTAGTGTAATATATGGTTAATAGGAAGGGTAACCAAACCAATGATCCAAAATTGGGTTAGTTGTAAGATGAGATGCATATGACTTAGAAAATCTTAGGGAAGCAAACAAATGCAGGGTGTCTAGCTGCAAGCGCAGGCATCAGTAAAGAGACTATGGTGTGACATTCAGAATGCCCATACTCTTTATAATCCACTATTTTTCAGGTTTCTAATGCTTTTACTCTAGTTACTTGTTACAGTGAAAGATCATGGCAGTAGATCAGAGAGTCACTAAACAATTTAACATCATAAAAGGACTAAAAAAGGCACTGAGTCATAATTCTTAGCAGTTTCTTGATGGCTAATGAGGGGCTGCATGTATGAGTTAGCAGTCTCACTGATGTCTATGTATGCATTACTAACATATATTATAGCGAAGTCCAAACTATGCGTTATAATTAGCTGAAAATGAGCAACCCATGGAATTTAAAAAGCAAAGAAATACATGATCTAAGTGTTGGCACCAACCCACGCAAAGCTGACTATTAGAAAACTCAGCCGCGCAGGAAAACAGGTTCGGAGGGTATGACAGCCTGCCACTAAGCAAATTACGTGGATTGTCCACACTTTTCCTGTCTTCACTGGCTGACCATGCCATCCGATAAGGACCACATGCTTTGAGAACATATAAAGGTCGAGACAAATCTTCTGCTTTCCTGTCTTGTCAAGCTTCCTTTCAAGTTTCTCTAGATTAGTGACTGAGAAGTCTCTCTTCTTTTGACTTATTGTTATTCATTTCTGATCAAGTAAGAATCATTGTGCTCCGGAGAATAGACACGCTTGAGACTAATTGGCCTTGTATTTGTTTGAACAGCAAAGTTTTGAGCCGCTATTACAATGGGACGAGACGGCTATGACACTTCCGACATTTCTCCAACTCTCTCCACCCGATGATCAAACGAAATAGGGTAGAGGGACGCTAGTGATAAAAGATTCGGCGAGAGTTGAAGGGATTCTTTTTTTTTTCGGTTTTGTGGCAAACTTCGAAATCACCGAGATGGCCAAACCAAACTGTGCTTTCGGACATCAGTGGCAGCTATTGGGGCTCCTGTTCTATGCTCCTGTTTTATGTTGTGGTATTTTGTAAAGTGTGTGAGAAACTATCTTCGTCTCTGCACCCAGTCACTCTTTGAACCCCACGGTAACTAGGTATATATGATGTTCTGGGTCTTAGTAGGGCTACGGGGTAGCAGTCGTCTACTCGCAGCTGGCCAGATATCGACACGGACTTTGCATTTAGCTCAAGACTTAGCCCTACCTTGTAGCCTACCCACTCTAGCTGTTCCTCAACAGCTGTTGGGATCTTTATTAAGCAAAAGGTATCTCAGCTAGCGCAATAAAAGAAGTACAATAAGTGGACCTAGGATGCATGTACTGTACTTGAGTATTTAGTGTTATATTAAATTACACAGTCACCCGAACAGTCTAATGGTGCAGTTGAGGGTGTTCTAATGTATTTCTGAAGACGGATTGTTCTGGCTAGCTTCTCTAATTGACAGATATTTCAGTGGTTTTACATGTGTACCATATCCCACTTGGTCCTTACGTAAGAAGACGTCTGGAAATGATATTGACCCAATTTGACAGGTTAAATGTAAATAACACCTTCCTCTGGGTGGGCTAGAGTGCCAAAAATCTCGTTCTCGGCCTGCAGTCCAACATCTCTCTCAGTCCTTCTCACAAACTGCCCAAACTAAGATCAGCAAAGCCTCCCTAGATACCAACCACACGAACCCCCGCATAACACTTAGGAAATGTGAAACGGAACTCACCAAGTCTGACAAACCGGCCTCCCAGTCTGCGGATGCGTATAAAGATTCAGGTACGCCGCCCGCCCACACGAGGAGCAGTACATGATCGCTGCATTTCCGGCGTTCCAGCAGTCTGTGCAGTAGGTTGGCTGAGGGTTGCCGGCGGCGCGGGTGCGCTGCCGGCGGCCGCAGCAGGAGTAGTACATTGTTGATAGACTGGAAGTGGATGGAAGGTGGTTTCAAGGACGAGCGTCTGGTGAGTAGTTGGACGTAGTGGGGCTGTTGATATATAATATCGACAATGTTAACTAGAGCAAAGGATATATTTTGCTAGCACAGCAGAGTTATTCAGTCGGTCTTCGTTTCTTCGAAGAAAATTTCATTAGTTATAAAGACTTCTTAAGAAAAGCTCTGGAGTAAGGCTGCTAGTATATAGTATAACCTTGCCACGTAGCACCGATTTGTGGGTGGGGGTAAACATAGAGCCTTACTTACCCTGCACACCATCATATAGGCATGTACTCTAAATAAATTAATTTAAACTAGTTAACTGACTCACAAGTTACCAGACAGATCATATAACTGGCCAAAATTGTAAGTGACATCAACTGGGCTAGCCCATCCGGCGGCGCTCTGATCCGGGCTGATCAACAAGGGGCTGGTCAACACCAGCTGGATGTTCGCACGGATCCCTCCGGATATGTTGACATGTCCCTAATTGTGGAACTTCCGCCACGTAGAAGGACTGGTCAGGAGGGTGGGTGACGTGGTAAATTCACTTGCAGCTCAGCCTGCTCAGCCCGATCAGCTTAGATGCATGATCCCCCGGCCCGATCCTCCAGAGGTCCGTGTTTAAAAGTGGACAAGAGCGAAATAACTTGACAGAACATTCTACCAATGTACCTAGACCTCATGAACTACACCATTAAGCTGCGTCCTATAGTTCTGTTCATCTATACCCTAGCTGATGGCCACCACTAATGCTTTGGGCAGCTCTGATTTATATATAGTTGGATGGCTCGCAGTCCTACCTGAGTGTGCCGCAGCGACAACGGATGCCCGACAAGCATCATGAGACGCCGTTGGCTTTGTTCAGCATCTCACAGTCATAAATTCATACACCTGGGGCAGGGTAGGGGAGCATAATGTTATGATTGCCTCGCTTCCTGCTAGATTATATGAAACTACTTCCGCTGCAATAACAGTGATGAATATACTCTCATCGCTTCCCCATATCAGAATCAGCCTGCTGGTAGGGATTGGAGGTGGCATTGCCCGATCTCAGCCGGGTCGTGATATTTGGCTAGGCGATGTCGTTGTCAGTCAGCTGCAAGGAATGACTGGGGCGTAATTCAGTATGACCTAGGGAAAGGAAAGCCCAGTTAAAAGTGGGAGTGAAAAGATTCACTTAATATACCACCACAAGTTTTTCTCTAAGCAGTAGCAAGTCTACAAGCCGAACATGAATTAGAGGAATCAAGAATATCTGAGTTTCTTAAGTCAATATCCTGGTAAAAAATCCTGAATGGCTAGTAGCAGCAAAAAACTGAAGAAGTGGGTTTATCAAGGACGTAAGAATGACTAGCTTCAAATCTTCCTACAAATATATACCTGGAAATGACTGCTGTAAGTGTAATATCATAGAGGAAGTAGAGCGCGATAGATGGGACAACACTGACCCAGAAATCCATTATAGTGTTATTGCATCAGAGAACACACTGGTTAAGGATACTGCTATGAGATAAGATTACAGAGAATGTTAGTGAGGAATGTATCTGCTTTGAGATGGAAGCTGCTGGCCTAATGAACAACTTCCCATGTCTTGTGATCAGGGGAATTTGTGATTATGCAGACTTACATAAGAATAATTAGTAGTAGTGTTATGCTTCTGCTACTGCTGCTGTATATGCAAAGGAGGTTCTTGGCTACATTCTGACTAGGGACATTCAGGAGATGTGGAAGGCTCTAGTTATGCTTAGATCTAGTAGGTTTTCTTTTGTACATTAGTGAATAATTCATTAATATTATCATAGTGGATAAGAATATAACAGACATCTATGCCACAATAAGCCACATGAATACAGGGCTTGAAAGTATTCCATCAGATAGACATCTCATGAAGATTGAGCAATGGCTCTCATCTCCTGATATGTCAATAAATCTAAATGATGTGCAAAAGAAGTGATAAGGAGAACTGACTCCTGGTTTCTCTAGAGTAATCTATTCCAAGTCTAGAAAGCTGGCATATGCTAGTTCCTCTGGCTCCATAGGATTCCAGGCTGTGGGAAGACCATGCTCAGTGTAATAATTATTGAGCATCTTAATGAGCAACTTGACTCTTCAGGCCTTATTCTTTAATGTATTTTTAATTTTACTGCTGCCAGTAAACAGACAGCTGAAATCCTTATTCGTTCGCTTATTGCACAACTATCTGACGTGTATGAATTGTTGGTATGAACTAAACAATCTATTCTCTTCCTGCGAAAATGGTTATTGCTAGCCAACATTTGACTCCCTATCTATTACATCTACAGATGCTGGGTGGTTACGCCCAGAGACTCTAAATAGTGATGGATGCCCTGGATGAATGCAAAACATGGAAAGACCTACTCCAGTGGTTAGACAGTCTCTCTCGGCCTGAATATGAGGAGCTGCGTCTCCTTGCCACTAGTTGAAAAGAAGAAGATATTGAATTAGGGCTCAATTGTTGGCTGGATGGGCGCAGTATTATCTCTATTCAAGAGGAGTTCGTGAACCGCGATATTCACACATATATCTATGAACGACTACAACATGATCCAGGCTTCCAAAGATGGCACTTGCAACCAGCCATACAGGATGAAATTCAAACGGACCTTTTAGCACAAATCAATGGAACATGAGACGCCTTATTCTGACCATGGTGTCTGAAAGGCTGTAGCTGACCCTAGTGATTGGAAGGTTTCGGTGGGCCGTATGCCAACTTGATATTCTCCAGAAGTCCTTAAACCTGCCAATGCTTTGGAAGACGTTAGAGGTCTACCTAAGTAATTAGAGGAGACTGAGGCTCACTAAAATTACGCAATGCGTATTCTACAATCTCCTACTTACTCAGAACGACTCTTGTTAATTCAGGAAGCGGTTGATATTGTGATAGTCAATCCTAGTATAAAGCCTGCATTTGATCCCACATTGCGAATGCCAGAGCCTCGGGAGATCATAAAGGTGTGTTCGACTCTGGTATCATTAGATGGACTGGAGTGTATCAAACAGAGGTGACAGAGCTTCGGCTAGCCCATCTCTCCCATTCAAAATTACCTCCAATCCAAGCAAATTCAAGCTGCCTTCCAAAATGCAGCTAGTGAGGTCGATGCGTTCTTTCAGAATGGACTGAATGAGAGGAATGGAAAAGGAACCATAACAATGGTCTGCCTCGCTTATCTGTCACATCTCAGTGAACAAAGCATTCTTAAGGAACTTGGATATCCACTGGTGGTGGACCTCCCCTTGCTGTCTCTGTCAGAGCGAGAAACTGTGAAGAAAAAAGTGACTGAATGACTTATGGAGGGGCTTGCCTCACAGTACATGTAAAGAAGAGAGGCATTAGGTAAGATTATAAGTGAATATCCGCTCTCAGAATACTCTGCTTGATATTGGATGGATCATGCAAGAGTAAGCAAGATGGAAATGGAAATTCAAAAAGGCATCTTGGGATTCTTTCAACATGGAAGCAGAGGGTACAAAGCCAGGCTTAAAATCTGGGAACCAGATTTCTCTGACTTTGGAGATAAATTCCAGCCGTGCCATGGGGCGCCGATGATGGCGCCCATATATCATGCATCTTCAGCAGGACTCCGCCAAAGGGTTCGATTGTTGTTGGACGAAAAAGCCGACATCAACGAGCAGGGCGGCAGGTACAGCAATGCTCTCCAGGTTGCTTCATATGGAGGCCACTCGGAGATTGTGTATCTCCTACTTGAGAGAGGCGCCGACGTCAACGCGCAGGGCGGGGAATATGCCAATGCCCTTGGGGCTGCTTCAGCTACAGGCCACCGGGAAACCCTTGAACTACTGAATTAATATCAATAATAAGTGATTCAAATCAGTGTAGTGAGTTTCGGCAAGTTGTAGGGGCAAAGGCAAGCCAATGAGATGAATCTACCTACCAGATAGAACATGGCCCTATGCGTGCGTATTAAAGCATGAAAATTCAAAACAATGAACTATAGCATAAATTCTACTATATCTTCTCCATATAAAGCAGTTGTCATAGTATACAATTGTCATACGATGGAGCGTGACTGCAGCACATCATTGCAGACGTCATCCATAAACTCAAACTCCGCATCTGTGCCACCACACCCCATCATCCATATAACTAGCCGTCGTCCTTTTCTATCGAATAAGCGGTGAAAGCAAATAATTGTACATTCAATGTAATTTGAACCCCTTCTGTACATACTGCAAAATGACAAAAGACTTGGTAAGCCTCGCCGTCGGCGACTATTATGCCGAGGCATTGTACCGTTCTTACTGGCTACAGACCTTCGACGTCCATTTCGACAACGAGCTCGCGCACGAGTACTATGGCGACGGGGAAAAGCTGGCCAAGAAGTATGGATGCTCGAAGTCGTGCAGTGCAACAGCTAATGCGGATTGCAGGCTTCGCGAGATATACCACGATCGTAACCTTAAGTTCCCGGATTTCTTCGATTCCACATTGACCACTCCGCCTGTACATTTCCTGTCGTATGTAGTCCATTACTTACGTGAAGTACACTAGGTAGTCAGAAAAAGCTGACACTGCTTCTGCAGCGTCGAGGCACCGGATGATGTAAAGATTGAGGAACTGCAGAATGTGGAAGTGCCACCTGGACTGCATGTTGATATTATTGACTTTCATATGGAATAGCTAGTCGCTAAGTTGGGGCCTGTACGGGTAAACAAGTCGGATTAGATATGCTCAATGTAACATGAAGGAATCTTTGTTATTGGCGAATTCTACTTTTAGGGTCTATGGAGACCAATTGCCTAAAGGGATTCCTCTTGGGCCGAAATGCCCCATACTCATTTCGGACACCTTCCGTGGTAGATACCGTATACGAGTAAACGAGCGTAGCCACGGCCGGCGCAAAGTCTATCCAGTGACTTGGGAACTAACATAAGCATGGCTGGCAAATCAACAGCGACACGACCGAGTCGTCCCAATCATTCAGCCTCAACGGTGGAGCAGCAGACGGAGCAGAAGTCAGCACTAGTCCAATCGACCTTCAGCCAGGAAGCTATGGGGCGCCGGACTCGAATCTTATTCTCTGCTGGATGTCATGAATCATGATAGACCGAGTCTTCAGCTGACGCGGAGCTGAATCTAGTGCTTACTGGCCCATTTGTTGTCTCAGGGACGTTAGACGGGCACACGTGTTGTAAAAGGCAAGCAAAGCTCAATAACCTGAGAATAATTTCTATAAGAAGTTGGTACTTCCTTTTGATGGACTGTAACTCAACTACCGTAGCCCAACAGCAACAACCAGCATCATGTCACGAGTAATCGACAAGCGGGCTGCGCCAGCGGCGGAGGAAAAGACCAAGGTCATTATCGCCAGTTGTAGCCGGTAAGCATACCTTTACCATTCGCGTGGGCGACTACATATCGCTGAAGCAACCTCCAGAACTGGGACGCTTGGCCTCTACTTCGCCATGAAGACACTTGGCTACAAGCCCTACCACATGTACGAAGCGGCAGCAGTGAAGGGGACACAAGACATGGCAGCCCTCCTAGAGGCCGTAACCGCGCAACATAATCGGTTCTCGGGCATCAAACGGTTCGACAAGGCTGATTTTGATAAGTTGACTGCCGACTATGATGTACGTGTCTACTTATCCGATCCAGCGTTCTGGATACTTATCAGACAACAGTGCCTTGTTGAGATCCCGAGTTGGTTAGGCCCAACCCTCCTCGACGAGTACGCACAGGATCCCGAGGTCAAGTTCATCCTGACGGAGCGGGACCCCGAACGGTGGGCCAAGTCGATCAACGGCACGGCGGGCTTTGTCGTCAAGTCGGCGGCTTCGTTTCCATTGAACGTTCTCAAGCATTTCGACGAGGAATTAGGCGTCTTTCTGGCTCTCAACGTCACCCTGTACGCCGCCATGGCTGACGGCACAAAGCCGGGCCAGCCGGGTAATGAGGCTGCTCTCAGGAGGAACTACGTTGAGTAGTAAGTGCCGTGAGAAATGGCTAGGAGACAGAAGACTGCTGACATGCAACTGCAGTATCAAGGCCGTCAAAAATACGGTTCCTAAAGAGCGTTTGCTGGTCGTCAAGCTTGAAGATGGGCTGGGATGGGAGCAGATTTGTCCGTTCTTGGGTGTTCCCATTCCAGAAGAGGAATATCCGCGTGGCAACGACGTCGAAAATTTCAAGGCCTTGGCGCAGGGCTACTTGAAGGAGAGGAGCAGAGCCGCTATGCTCCGGTTGGGGGCGCTACTGGTGCCTGCGTTGGGTGTGTCCGGTTACCTTGGATGGAAATATTTTGGAAAATTGGCATAGTTCTTGGAAACTTCTATAGTTGGATTCCGCAATATAGATCTTGGCGCTATTCGGCATGGTTCTCGCAGAATGACAGCATGATCATGTCTACATCATTTAATGCTTATCAGAAACACCATTCAGATAATTTCCACTTTTAGCAAATTTCTTCTCCGGCCAGAGTCCTGCGCCAGGGTTTTGCAAAGATGGCAACCCCCGAGTCGTTGATTCTTCGGTATTCCGGCTCGGAATTCACAGACGAACAGTCTTTCCACAATCACTTGGTAGAGAAGATCTCCGAGGCAAGAGCAACAAGAGCAACAAGAGATGTCATCTACGCCGAACTTGTTTACGACAACATCGCTCCTTCCTGGATGGCAAATGTGGGAGACGCACTTGAGCGGGCAAGAGCTGGCTTCTGGTAAGCGGTTTTTGTCGATGTAGTAGCATAACAGAACGATAAACCGAATAACGTATTTCCCTTCGTTAGCAAGAGTTATGACCCTTTCACTCTGATCCTCCGAGTTGTAGCAATGTCGTCCTTTTTGCACAACGTCGACCAAGTTTGGTGTCAACAAAGCGTGATTGAAAAACGGTTTAGGCTGCCACCGAGTCAAGCTCGTCAGCGGTTGGACAACACATTCTACACAGTAGCTGACGTGATTGCTAAACGGCCCCCTTCCTCCTATGTGGCATCAATCGTATCCTTGGCCAAGCAATGCGGTGGTCCTATTCACTGTCACGCAAATGTCTATTGATATTCACTGTTTCTATTGTTGCTGGAGCAACAATAGGCAAGCTGCTTACATCTTCGCACCTTTTCCCTCTTTCTCACACTTCATCTCTCCACGCCTTGTCTGCACACCTTGCCTGCTCAACCACGGATTCTTACATTTTGCTTGCTCTACATGCGTCTTTGGCGCATACAACTGCCTTCACCATCATACGTTGAACCATCTGGAGCTTCGTCGCCTGACGAGATTGTTGAGTCATCTCCTACTGTGTTTCCGCGACGTGTCTTCGTCCATCACTCCAGACACTGATCAACGCGCAGTTAGCTGCTCAGCAACAGAATAATGCTGGCCAAACAACCAACCCCACAGGAAATACCAATGATGAGCTGATCAACGACCTGCTAATAATCAGCGTCGCCATCCAAAACACAGACACAGACGGCAGCACCCAGATGACTATGCTTCGAGTGGCAGTTCCAGTGACGGAGACTACCACCCGCAACGTCGTCAAGCCACAGGTAGTGGAAGAGACTCTCGCGATACAGAGTATCAAGACAAACCAGCAGGAGGTACTTGGCGCCCGGCTGATATTGGCTTCTTCTACCCTGATATGCCATTTTCGTGGCGGGCAGCTCACTCGGAATGAGACCCGTATGCTACATGCCACATCAAATTCCGGTAAAGCGATGCACCTCCGCTCGTTCCATCTCATGCAGTTCTAATTGCTGGAAGATTATGTATTCCCCGATGGGCCATCTGTTGGCATCAAGAAGTCACCCAATGTAGCATTCAACGTGCCAAACGCCATCATGCCCAGAATTGTTGTTGAGAGCGGGTGGAGTGAATCTCTCTACGAACTTCGGGAAAACGCAAGACAATGGCTCGTGGGAGGAAATGGCGCAGTCAAAGCTGCCATCATCATAAAATGGACACCGAACCGGGCAACCCGCCAGGTCCGCGGTCTCGTGGAGCTTTACACCCTGGACAGAAGTGGCATGCCTCGGCTCCTGCAAAGAGAAGTGCGGATATCTTATCCATCGTCGTTGTGTTTAGCTGGCTAACGACGAAAGAAGGAAATCTTCCCGGTCCCACCGGGCATCCAGCCAGGTAGTCAGGCGATAACCGTAACGCGGCGGATGCTTTTTGGCCAGGTGACCAGACCTGGCACTAGTCCAGGAGATCTTCTTCCTCTGGACATTGATATGCTGCGCCAAGAAGCACAGATTGAAATGGCAAAGATGGGGTATATCCCTGCATGACTGAAGACTAGCCAAACGAGAATAGTATAGCGGGGAATAGTACATGATTCCCTTGCAGCCAGAGCCCACGAAGAGAAGTCGATAGTGACATTAGTACTTGCGCCAACTGACAAGCTAAGATACTCTAGAGGCCTCATCAGTAGGCATTTGCTTACAAGTGGTCAGTTTATTAGCTACCCTGTCTTCTATTCCCCTAGTCCGCGAGTTACATTGTAAGTCCCACATTGCCCGATACGGCAGCAAACAAATGTAAAAATAGACTATCATTGGAGAAGACCGCATTCAAGCTTGCCTTGGGTCATCTAATCTCCTGTCGAATGATGAGTATCTTCCACAGTACCTGGGAAGATTTCACAGAGCAGTGATACCCGAGAGGCATGATAATGGCATACAACACTACGGTTAAAGGACAACACTGGATCTGGAGCAATATCTTCTTGCTTTTGCTCGTTGGGCGAAATGTATTCATCTGGTCTATCTCACTGATGCAGAACATCGCAAAATGCAGAGACTCAGGAATAGTCGACTGATCCCGAGGATAGACTTTTTCACACCGAGGTCGATCTTTGCAAAAGCTGCTATCTGTGGCGACAGTAAACTAGCATGGATAGTCAATCTTGCTTGCATTGTTATTCAGATAGCGGGCCAATTGGGACTTGCTCCAGTGCGAATGGCCACACTTGACAGCTGTCACTAGAGCTTCCGCGTTGACTATACCAGAGTCAGCGAGTCCTCTTCAGTTCATCACAAGACTTACTTTCAGCTCCCGGCCAGCTTGTATGCGTATAATCGTTCAACGGGTAATAGGGCATGGTAGCATTGACCGAACCGAAAGCCTGCCAGCGATTCACCGCATATTTCGTATGATCGATATACTCCACCCCTTCTTCCTCGGCCACCTGTACGTCACTGAGTTACAAACACCCTGCACGCTTACCCTATATCGGCTGTCACATACCTCACGCGCATAATCCGCAAAAGGCCAGTCCCGTTGAAGAACATCCCCCGTCCAGGACATAATCGGGACCATCCCGCTCAGCAACGGAACACCGCCAGCTTGCCGCACATCACGGATCATTTTTCGGAGGTAATGGCCAAACGTGTACACCGTTTCTGTGGTACCTCCGGTGGCATTACTGGCCACAACGACGCTCTCGGGTCCGATACCGGGGAGCGTAGCTCGATCCTTCGCGTCGGTCGTCGGATCCCCGTTATCGTTGTGGCCCATCTCGATGAGGACGAATGTGCCTTCGCCGGGGACGATGCGCTCAAGCAGCGACGCCCAGAGCCCTTCGTTGATGAAGGAGCGGGTGCTGCGCCCTCCGCGAGCGAGGTTGGTGATGTTCAGGTCGAAGAAGTCGTGCATGTAGTAGCCCCATCTATAGAGTCAGTACCATTTTTGTCATATTGGAAGGCGAATCGAATCTACCCTTGGATTAAACTGCTCGTGCCATATGGCATCGTCGTACTGTCGGAGCAGAGGAGAATCTGGCGCTGGGGACGCGCAGTTGGTGCCGCAGTGGTCATGGACGCTAGGCCTGCCATCACTATGGAGGCGGAGAAGAAGGAGCTGAGGCGTTTCATATTCGTTCACTTTCTTGCTTGAATTCGCAAGTTTGCGAGATAGAACTGTTGGTCTCCGACGGAATCTCAGCCTAAGTCGGAGGATATATATCCAGGACGTCCTGTGCGGGCGATGACCAGCCCCTCACACTATTTGCAGCGTCCTCCATTGATCCTGCAAGCGTTCCCTTGGCCCGGTGCGCATGAATCTATGGTGAAGGTATCTTCCACTGAACGATTCGTAGTTCCACCTATTGGCTCTTGGTCAGCACGGGGTCCCCAGAGCGTCATAACCAGCAAAGTCCGAGGTGACTCAACCTAGAACAATCCCCATAGGGTCATCTCGGTATTATTATTATCACGGGGCTCGCTAATCGATCTCCAGGCGATAATGCGGGGAATCCTGGGGTTGGCAAATCCCACCAATCTGTGAATATAGTCGATAAGGGTTCGGGGCAAAAGGAGCCGAGATATAATTAGGTCTTGAAGACATCCCTTTTGTCTATTGATGGGCGGTGTACATGAGAGTAATATGACTGGATGTAGGTAGATGTTGTTGCGACTGTGTCTCCTCGAGTACGCAAAGAAATAGCAAGCTTGATACAGCAGATGAATCATGATCTCATTCAGTAAATCCGGATTATATGCAAGACTATGCCTACAGAAGATGCCTTAACGGCCTCAGCGCAGGCTCAGCCACCCTCTCCCCCGCTAGAAGTGCCCGGTCGTTAGCATCATAAACCGGCTCCTTTGTAACCGTAGCCGCAATTCGTCTTCCAAAATATTCCACCTCCACCCTCTGGCCCTCTTGAATCGATGCAGGAAGCCAGGCATACGCAATAGGCTTGCCGATCGTATACCCAAACGCAGCAGTGGTAACATATCCCACAGCCTTGTTCTTCCAAAACACAGGCTCCTTACCCATCACCATCGACCTTCCATCGTCGACTGTCAAACACCGCAGCCGACGCACAGGTTGTCTCCTTGCAAGTCGCTGCACGGCAGCCTTGCCCACGTAGTCTTCTTGTTTATCCACCTGCACCGCGGAGCCCACGCCTGCTTCGAACGGGTCATGCTCGCTGTTCATGTCCACGCCCCAGGTCCTGTATCCCTTCTCCAGCCGCAATGCGTTGAGGGCCGCTCGTCCAGCGGCAATAAGACCGTGCGGTTGGCCCGCAGTCCATATAGCATCCCATAGGCGCAGTCCGTACTCGGCGCTCGTTTGGATTTCCCATCCGCTCTCGCCAACATAGGACTTGCGGAGGACGGTGACGGGCAGACCGGCGAGGGTTGTGCTCTTAGCATGCATATATGGCAGCCCGGTGTTAGAAAGGTCATCGGTCGTCAGCGTCCGGATGACATCGTGGGCGCGAGGGCCCCAGAGTCCAAGGCAGCAGGTGTGTCCCGTCACCTCGCGCACTTGAACCCATTGCGTTGGAGACTWTTGACACTGTCGCCGAGCCTCACGGGAGAGATACGCAAAGTCAGTCGCGCTGTTTGCGCCGATCTGGAACAGGTCCTCGCCGAGTCTCGTAACAAAGATATCGCTGCGAATGCCCCCGCGCTGGTTCAACAGCAGCGTATAAGCGATCTGTCCCACGCCCGGCACGCCACTCGTCATCAACCTCCGCAGCAACTCCCTCCCTCCAGGCCCAGACACCTCGAATCGATGGAACGACGTCATATCATACATCGCGACCGCATTCCTCGTCTTCCACGCCTCAACCGCCACAATAGGGGAATGGAACCTCGCCGACCAGGCATCCCTCCCCACAGGCCGCCATTCAGCAGGAAGAAACTCAACCAGCTTCTCGTTCGCATCATACCAAAACGGCCGTTCCCACCCGCCCAGCTCAAGGAAAAACGCGCCGAGCTCTTTCTCGCGCGCGTAGAACGGACTCACGCGCAACTGTCGTGGTAACTCACGCGGCTGCAGCGGGTGCAGGATATCGTAGATCTCGACGAAGTTCTTTGATGAGGTTTCAGCCACGTATCCACGGCTCAGCTGTACGTCCTCGAAGCGGGAGAGCTCGCACTCGGATAGGTCGATGCGAGACGAGCCCTCCACCAGCAACTCGGCTAGTGCGCGCGCCACGCCAGCCGAGTGCGTCACCCAGACTGCCTCGGCGACGTAGAAGTTGTCGAGAGTTGGGGCAGGCCCAACCAGCGGCCCGCCGTCGGGCGTGAATGAAAAGATGCCGTTGAAGCCGTCGGCGAGCTGGCATTGTTGCAGTGCGGGGAGGAGTTTCTGCGTTTCGGACCAGGCTGGGGCGAAGTCTTCCGCGGTAAAGTCCATCCTGGACGGCATGGTCTTCTCGTCGACGTGGTGGGGTGTATGCCCGAGCGAGGCAGCCTCGATGGGCATCGCGCGGTGGCCGTAGTAGCCGATGCCGTACGCGTCGCCGTGCTCGCGGTAGTAGAGGTCGTGGTCCTGGTGGCGGAGGATGGGGAATGTGGCGTTCAGTCCGTTGGGGCGGTGGTTGATCTCGCGGCCTTCCAGGCCCGGAACGGGGGTGGTTTTGGCGTACTGGTGCGCCAGGGGCAGGAGGGGGATGGACACGCCGGCCATATTCCCCACCTCGACGCCCCAGAATCCTGCGCAGGAGACGACGATATCTGCGCGGATGACTCCGGCGGAGGTTATCACGCCGGTGACGCGATTCCCTGTCTTTTGGATACCCGTGACGGGCGTCATTTCTAGATAGCGCACGCCTGCGTGTCGTGTCCGTTCGATCAGCAGTTGTGTGGCCCGCGCTGCGAGCGCCAGCCCGTCGCTGGGGATATGCAGTCCCCCAAGCACGATTTCCTCGTTCAGAAGGGGATACATCTCGACGCATTCGGCTGGACCAACGAGTTGCGCCTCTATTCCCCACGCGGACGCATAGCCATGCTTCCGCTTCAGCTCCTCAAGTCTCTCCGGTGTGGTGGCGACCTCCAGGCCACCGACCTGATTGAAGCAATTCTGCCCGTCTTTCTCGAGAGAAAGCAATTTCTCAACCGTGTACTGTGCGAAACGGGTCATCGTCTTGGACGGGTTAGTTTGAAAGACTAGACCAGGCGCGTGCGACGTCGAGCCACCGGGCATCTGCAGCGGGCCCTGCTCGACGACGGTGATGTTGGTCCATCCTCGGGAGACCAGCTCATCGGCGAGGTTCGCGCCGACAATACCGGCGCCGATGATGACAATGTGTGGTGAGGGTGCCATGTTTGTGCATTGAGAGCTAGTGGTCGACTCTACAGGTCATACTTGTATGTACATGATGGTGTATATTCATCTATTCCTACCCCGCAACTAGATAGCCAACTCTGTGCAGTGTGATGGGCATGATGGACGAACCGTGGGATACGGCAAAGGCAACCGTACCAACCGACCAGATGATCGGCCATGGAACGGCAGCCGGGATCCAGACAGGAGGGGTAAAAATAGTGTCTTGCCTGTCCTATCTGATCATTGTCGTCATTCAAACGTCTCCATGTGGGGTTGAGAGGGGAAAAGTTTGCCGGTTCGGGAATGGCATTCCTCTGCTTATCTGGTTCATCTACTCTATTTTTGTCCACCCACTGCTGGCACTGCTGTCCTTCTAGTTCAATTCAATACATACGAAAGTAAATGCCTGCAATGGTTATACAAATGATGCGTGTTCTGTTTCCACACACCTGGCACTGTCACTTTTCGACATTGTGGTACACCGACTTAGGATTCATCAAGATCGATATGCGTTGCTATCGGCACCGAGTCATGGGTCGCAGATGAACCTAACGATAAAGCTGATTCATAGAGGCAAACGGCGTTGTACGACGGCAAGTGCTTGATCCTAAATACGAGCCTTAGCTATACAATCTGCGTTGGGCTCAGCGTTATGATGGGGACTTATGAATTGCTTTGGCTATCAAGGCGGGGAAGAGGCAGTCGCTTTGGGACTCGTCCGGTTAGTCGTTGCATTCGTAGTATTCGCTGGCAGGAATGCTTCGAGTGTTGCTCTGCGCTGTGGAAAGAAGAATTCATGTCGCATGGGAGAGACTCGCTGGGTTCAGTGGTGCATTCGTGGCTTGATGGCCAGGCTGTAAGTCGCGTATCGGCAGGTCATTTAGTCCTAGTCCTAGAATATAAGCAGTGCACAATCTGAGGATCACGGAGTCATCAATCACAACTTCATAACGCTTCGCGCTTGAATGCAAGTTATAAATTTCCCAAATTCCACCACGCCGAACCTTCAACGTCGCCTACCGCCGCAGTTGACGTGCTATAGTCGAGATCATCCACGTCTCCAAAAGGGGCCGGATCAGCCCAGAGCCAGGGCGTGTTGAGCATGAGGCTGTCGATGGGAGCTACCACTGCGTCTGAAGGAGGCATAGACCGTGGAGCAGTAGCTGGGCTCGTATCGCCGTCCTTTGACGAACCTGGAGCCCGATACAGAGGCATAGGTACGCCCTGGCCGCCGTCTGCGGTGTTGACGGTAACTTCAGGCGAAGTCGTCACGATGATTTCGAGTGTAGAGCTTTCCTCTGCGTCGTCTCTGGTTGCAGAAGCACTGAGTGATGGATGCAAGAGACTTCCTGACGGGACAGCGGGATAAGAATCGTCGCTGCAGGTGAACTGGAGGATATCCCACATCAAGGGGATGTTCAGATGAATCTTGGATGGCACCCAGCTGTCGTAGTCTACGTTCTCCGCGCCGGCTGCAATCCGGGTCATGAGGTCGAGTGATCGGTTCTGATCTGTCAGTTGTGTTTAAATATCTGCGACGGGAAACATACTAATGATGCACAGGCCCGAGAAAACGGTACAAACGACCGCAAAAACACCCTGCAGCGGGCTAGATCCGCCCGGGACTTGTACTTTAGTCTGGGGTCTCCAGCACAGCAGTAATATAGCTGCACCGTCGCGGCGATAGCCGCCACATGCGCGAAGAAGGGATCGGTCAGCCGTACATCCTTGTCCGATAGCATGTCAATCATGCGCACGATCCACGTCGCATGCAGAAGTACCAACTCCGACGAACGGCGCCAGAAACTATTCGGAATGGCCAAGTTAGGATTATGTCGTGAGGCCATGATATACAAAAAAGGATGGTTGAGGACGGTGAGAATGGCATGGTACATGAACTGTAATTTGAGCCAGGGGACCCAGTACGCGCGGTTAACGATCACTTCGTCCGGCTGTCGATCGTAGAACCGCACATGGTCGTATCGATGGCAAAGAGGAGTTTGGTTCTCGATTTCGGTCAGGTCGGAAAGAACCATGGAATACATCGACTCATGGCGCCAGGGCTCGCGTAGTCGGTTGTTTGCACAATCGGACACATATGTGCGTACTTTGCTCCACACCCAGCCAAAGTGGATCGTCATACTCCAGATGCCAGTATCGTCTGGCGCAGCGCAGCCTATTGTGTCTCGCGGCAATGGGGGAGGCTTCTCGGTATCTCTTTGCGGCTCTCTGCCGTTGCGTGAGAAATAGTCCGCCGGACGCCAGATCTCCGGTGAGATGCTCAGCAGTCCGGTCTGACGGCCATACGACTGTTCTAGTAGCTGTAGACTCCAAAATAGCCTCTTCTTGCGCTCCGTGTGGGGGTCTCCAGGTGCATATGCGGACTCCGTGTCGAGCAGAGCAGACCGACAGAGCTGGAATGCAAGTCCGAGGTGAAATCGACCGAGGTGCATATCGCCATCTACTTCAATCAGCACTTCACGGCACAGGCCGAAGTGAATTCGGAACCTTACCAATAAACGAAGAATATGCCAGCAAACATAAAGCCTCAATCGTACTCAACTCCACGGTGCCATTCGCAATCCGGAGCATAATCAGACTCTTTGCCGTATCCGCATGGTGCTGCCCGTGTTCCCCGTCGTGGGAGAACCGAGCCGTCAGCGCAAGGATACTACAGATAAGCTCTTCCGGTAATGATTCCAGATCCCCATATTCTTCAAAATTAAAACACCAGACAGGCTGTCGGTGGCAATACTTCATGTACAAATCGACCGCTCGGGCAACGGCCAAGGAGGAAGGCTGCGGACTGGTATCATCAAAGGCGAAATTGGGGGGAGACGGGTCGCTGTAGCTCGAGTCGCGACGATCGCGAGGCTGGCTACCTTGTGTGAATCTTGCCTCTGTGAGGTCTTTGGCATCTTCGAGAACGGATTCCCTCCCTCGGGTTGGTCTGCGCCAGGCGTGAGCAATAAGGTGCAGCAGACTCGGGCGATACATACATGCTTCCCTTTAGAATGAGGTTTACTTTTTCTTCGAGCTCGGCCAGTCGGTCCTTCTGGATCTCGTTAGCGCGATTCATGTGAGCAAAAGCGTGCGTACAGATTGGCCACCTATTGATCCTGGCTTGGACACGGGTGGGTAGAAACACGACTGGTTAAGCCGTACACAGCACGAACAGGCGGGTTTCTCTCCGGGACATCGAGATTTCTTTCTCCTTTTGATATTCAGTCTCTGACCGTAGTGAGTAATTGGAGCTGCTAACCTGCAATTCAGACACGCGTGGTTGGAACGAAGTCTTCGCCGAGCCCCTTCCTGCGGGGTCATTATTTATTAATAGTGCGATGACTATATCAGAATGAGCTTAAATAAATTAAGACGAGCTCGTAAACTATATAGAGCGAATATCTGATCAATAGAAGAAGATGATGATGATGACATCCAAGGCTCACTCAGGAGCGAGATCAACCGTCCAAGTAGGGGACGACAATCCCGTGGGGAAGTCGAGCATTGACCCCTGTAGGACAGCATGATTGGCCTCGTGATATTGCCCTGATTAGATAGCTGTCAGCCTGTCACTAGATGAATCCTGGAAAAGCTACTCTGTACCGGGGAAGTGTTGTCCACGTCGGGCTAGTTCTTCCACAATCCGCCCTAACAGTGGCAAGATATGACGGACAAATGGCCTATTGGATGGCGGATCGTGCCATAAGAATCCAATGCTATCAACGGGCTGCACCAATCAGAAGCAGACAAGATGACTATCTCTTTTGTTACCTGATTTGCAGGCCCCGCATTCCCCCCTCTCGCCAGCTTGTTTGCTAGGAAGTTAACCCTGGTATTACAAACTGCCACTATCTCCACAATCAAAACACCACGATAGGATAGTATTAGAACATCGCATGCTCATATAGCATTGATATTAAATACTCATATACTACGGATATCAAATCACCACATAGGTATCTTAATTGGCTACTTGGGGTTCCCTACCTATGGCTTTGCCTATAAGTATACCGTCCACACAGCTACAAATTAAATGTGAAGATATTCTTCTATACGAAGATAACTGGAGATGAGAGATGATATTGTTATATCACCCTTGAGCATTGATAACCGCATGCACCCTCTCTGGCATGGATGAAATCAACCCATAGAACTACTCTTGCTCTATCGCCTCCTATGCACTCTTGGTAAGACCACTAAAGGTATCTTTTATTCTTCAATGGTCTCTTGGTAGTTTTCTATGGCTGGGATTCAGCTGATAGATTATCACTTCGAGCTATTCCCGGCGTGTGTCTTTGGATTGGGATCAGGTCAGTACTGCGTCCAGTCGAAGGGAGTGATTGAGCATAGGATCATCAACACAGTCTGATAGAGAAGAGACGATATTTAATATATTAAAAGTAGAACTTCATTACTCATATCTAAACAATCTCATTACCAGGGCAAACACGCCAAATGCAAGAAAGAAAGAAAGGAAAGATCACCACGCAATAGTCGCCGGCGGCTGCACGCACTCGGTCGCCTGACAGCTCAGACTCGAGCAAAACGAAATATCCTTCTCGCTGACGGTCGCATTCTTCGGCAAGTTCTGTCGCGCCGGCCAGATCTCCTGCTTGTCCTTCTGCTCGCGCTCGTAGTGCTCCACCACGAGATCCCGGACTACCTTCTGGAAGTACAGCGGTCCCTTTTCCATTTCGGGATGCAGCTCGCCGTTGACGAAGACGCCAGCATTCAGATTCTTCTGGGTCAGGTCGCAGAGGTACTTGTCCTCGGACATGATGCGCTTGTAGATCTGGTTGATTGTCTCAAAGTCCTCGACCGAGGAGTTCTTGTTGCGGTAGACCTCGTACTTCATAATGGATCGCGTGGGCGAAAGGGGGACGAAGCGCTGCATGAAGAAGAAGTGGGGGCTTTACTCTGTTAGTTGGGCTATGCTTGGCAGGTGGGAGGCTAGAGACTTACGAGACGGTAATGGAGGCATTGGGGAAGAAATATGTGCTGGCGGGATTCAATCCGGCCGCAACCTGCTCCGGCTTGCTGCGCCCATCGTGGATGATGCCGCCGTCCTTGGTCTGGACACAGTAGGCGCTCAGATCGGCAATGGACGGAATGTCAGGGTGCGTTGTGGCGCAGTGATAGCACTCGTTATAATTGTCCGCCAGAATCTTCCAGTTGTAGTCGCCTTCCTGCTCCCAAGTGTGGTCGAAGGTGTACTCGTCCCACTTGACATGCTCATACCGGGGCAGCAGATCCATTCCCTTGAAGTCATCCTCCCAGGAAACCTCGGGTTTCTCGCCGGCATCAAGATTGACCCAGATGAAGCCGTTGGCGTCGATATGCACGTGAATTGGTAGAAGGCCGTTCCTGCTCTTGTCAAAGCCGTCGAGGTCCTGATACCCCGGAGCCTTGGCCAGCTTGCCGTTTAGCCCATACGACCACCCGTGGTACTTGCAGGCGAAGATGCGGGATGTTCCCTTCTCTTCGGTGACGACTGGGAATGCACGGTGGCGGCAGACATTGTGGAAGGCGTTGATGTTTCCGTCGCGGTCCTTGACGATCACAAATTGAAAGCCGGAGACCTCGTAGCGCAGCCAGTCGCCGGGGTTGGGGAGGCGTAGCTTGTGAGTGGTCAGGAGCCACTTGCGAGAGAAGATCGCCCGGCGTTCTAGCTCGAACATCTCCTGAGAAGTGTACCATGAGGATGGCAGAGCGCGCATGGCGTTCTTCTCGTCATTGGTGGAGGTGGAGCCGAGGCCAAGATAGTTCCACAAGGAGCCCATTTTGGTGTATAAGAGTAGACGTTTTCTTCAATTTATGACAAAGATGAGCTTGGTTACTGTGAAGGACGTCTTAATCGAGGATGAACAGACTTATATATAGCGGCAACACCCATGGAACGCTATCCACTACTCCATTATCTCGACTCCTGACACTCGATAAGCGGAAACGGTTGGAGAACCGCAGGGTCGGAAGGAACGATATCGTCAGAGGACCGAGACGGAGTATTCACCCACCTGCCGGAGTCTTGTGATACCATCGTGATGCTCTCAGATATTCGCCACACGTTCAACCAGCCCAGATTATGTGCATTCGTTTCTCGGGACTGGGCGATGGTGGACGGTGGCGCCGGACACGGTTGAGCTCCACCGATGCCGGTTGACTACCAGTACGGCAGCTGCTAAAGGCTAATTATTGTGGTGTGAACATTATTAGAACGGCACTCATTGTTTGCAAGTCCAGACCTCGGACAGACGTAAAGCTTATAGACTGACTTTGCCAGAAAGAGGCATCCTATCCTTGTCACGAGTGGCCTGACGGAAGTTAGACAGCGAATGATAGCAATCGTAGCCAATCAGTACGACAATATTGTAAACACTCTACTCAGGGACAGCCATTTGCTCTCCTTTCCATGACTCGGTAAATTCATGGTTCCAGTGTGGTGGATTTTACTCCCTATACCCCGAACCATGCTGTGTCTGCTCCGATGCCCTGACGCTAGAAAGTGTACGCCTTCACTTCTGTACTATTATTGTGACCTGCCCGGAAAATAACTAATCTTGATTGAGAATTTACTATTCCTACCCTAGTTTAATGATCCGGCAACGTTTAGCTGGCCAGCAAAGACACTCGATGATCATCTGAACTAGAGACGGAGTATGCCAACTCACTTCACAGGGGTATCCTACGAGCAACCCCACTACCAGATAAGCATAACCCGACGCTCCGTACAAAGAGCAATCCCTCGGGCGACAGCTGTACAGCTGTACAGCTATAGCTCCTGTGGGCCCGGCTCAGCAGCCGTGCCAAGACGGTTCGGCTTTGTGCCCGAACCGTCTATCCAGCTCCCCACCTCCAATGAGAAGACCACAAGTCATAATAGTATCATCGTCCCTGGCAAGAATTCTATCCTTGCTATCGAAACCACACACCATGGACAAGGACCAACGCATTGTCATCGTCGGCGCAGGCGTCTTCGGCCTCTCCACTGCCCTCAACCTCGCGAAGGATGGCTTCACCGCGATCACTGTGCTGGATAGACACATGCCTCCCGTCCCCGACGGGTCAAGTAACGATATCTCCCGCGTAATCCGCTTCGACTACGGGGATCCCGTATATGCGCAGCTGGGCAAGGAAGCGTACGATCTGTGGAACACCAGCCCCGACTATGCGGACTCGTTCCACCGCACGCCGTGTGTCTGGACGGCGCAGAGGACGGGTCCCGCTGGGCTTGTTCAAGTCGGGGGGTCGGACTTTATCCGGAAGACGAAGGAGATTCTGACGAGGATGGGAGCCGAGTGGCATACGTTGGCGGATGCGGCGGAGTTGAACGCGAGGTTTCCCGCTGTCAGTGGGACACCGATCGGGGAGGGATTCGAGGGGTTCTATAACAATGCGGCTGGCTGGGCGGATGCAGGTGTAGCCATTGCGGGCTTGAGAGATCGGTGTATTGCTGCTGGGGTGTCGTTTGTGACGGGTCCTCATGGCCAGGTTACGGAGCTGGAGAAAAGCTCGGACGGTACCATTACAGCAGTCAAGACGGCCGATGGCGGACGCATCGCAGCAGACAAGTTTATCCTGGCGACGGGTGCATGGACGGCTGGACTGATTCCCTCGTGGAATTCGATGGTGGCGACGGCGCAGATTGTGGGCTTTGTGCGGCTTACACCGCAGGAAGTCAAGGCGCTCAAGGATCTGCCTATTATTTTCAATCTCTCGACCGGATTCTTCAGCTTCCCGCCGCACGAGAAAACTGGATATCTCAAGGTCGCCTGCCACAGTTTTGGATATACATTATCTTCGGAGCAGCAAATATCCTCACCCCCCAGTCGGGCTATCTCCGCGCGGGCAAACTTCATCCCCGCGGAAGGTATGCAGAGACTGCTTGCAGGCCTCAAAGAGATCCTCCCTCAGCTGGTGGACAGAGGCTTTGAGAAGACATGCCTGTGCTGGTATAACGAGACGCCGACAGGCGACTTTATCTTCGACTACCACCCTGACCATCCCAATCTGTTTATCGCTACCGGCGGGACCGGACAGTATGTACACCACAAACCCTTTACGATAAGTACTAACATGAGTGTAGTGCGTTCAAATTCCTCCCTAACATCGGAAAATACATTGCCAAGTCGTTTCAGAGACAATTGTCCCCGGAGTTGACGGAGAAGTGGAGGTTCCATACCGAGTACAAAGACCGTCCCCGGGAGGATATCTTCACTGGGGAAAAGAGCCGGAAGGGGGGAGATGGCAGCCGTGGGGGTCCAAATAGACGGGAGTTTACCCCCGAGGAGCGAGACAGCCTTTTGTCTCTGACGAATGCATTGGCTGTGAGACAGGCCAAGATGTAGATACGAGATCAGCTTACGTCAATCATACCATGATTTACGGTCGTTTCCAGGTCAGACGTTAGAGCATTGATAGCTTAAGACCAAGCCAATCACGCATTGAAGACTAGTTCCATGTCTAGACGCATAAGAGAGTGGTCCTGTCCTGTCGAAGACTACGGTAGAATCTAGTCTAAACAAAGCTTTATAAGATCCATTCATGATTGCTTTCAGTACTACTCCAACCCAAGTACACAACGCAGGAAGCCAATAGACACTGCGTTTGCGGTAATGAATCGGCAACCATCATGCCGATGTTCCATTCAGTGCATGACACATGGAGCTTGAACCCGAGGCATATGTGTCACTGGGTTTCAGATTGCGCTCAGCCTCCAGGCCGCATGGTAGCTGACGCGACTCACGGTAAGTTCTCACTCATCTCTCTTCTCTGCGTCGTAATCAGAGTGGATGAACCGCTTGTCGAGATCTTCATCACGCTTCTCGGGCGTGTAATCTTTGTAGTAGAACCGCTTGTTGACGTCTTCATCACGCTTCTCGGGCGTGTAATCTTTGTAGATGAACCGCTTGTCGAGGTCCTCATCACGCTTCTCGGGCGTGTAATCTTTGTAGAAGAAGCGTTTTTCAATATCGCCGGAGGCTGATTCGAGTTGGTCATTGTTTGCGACAGGAGCGGCCCAGGCAATCCTTGAAGCTCCAAGGAGAGCCAAAAGGTAAGAGAGCTGCATATTGATGATCAGATCAGGCGGTACTAAGGGCTTGATGGAACAGAAGAGAGAATCTGGATGATGGAAGAAGGTTTGACGGGGCAGAAGACTGGTTGTGCTTTATATAGTGTGAGCAGCTGGTGAGCCCGTCGCCTCTGAACGGACTTGTAGTATCACAGCTTCCAGTAGGCATAGCACAGCGAAAAGCTCCAGCTGCATGCTGCAGGTGGCAGTCACTCCGTCTCTGAAGCATTCAGTCGTCATCATTTTGTGTCCTAATGCATGAGGTAATGTGCCTTGAGCTGAAGTACAGGCTACACATCTTTTCCACTTGTTGCTCAACAAGAGGCGTCCTATCAGCGTTTAGAAGAAGAGAGGGGATACGAAGAGATCAACACCATAGTCCCACCGTGCTTTCCTCTGATCTGATCGCCATAGATCTGCTGTTGTCGAGGATGTTCTATGGATAAAGAGTTGCATGAACTACTGCTGATGGAAGGATAATGTGATCTATCTATCGCAGTCTAGCTTTTGCCTATACTTATGTTGGCTGCAGATACATTGCATATTGCCACGTCATTGATCAACAGGCTGCTCACAGGGTAGATGTCGAATAAGCCAGTAATAACAAAGATCTGTGTCAATTCTAATCACATCGGTCTAACCTAGGTCGAACTCAATTCCCGCACGGCTATTTGAGTGTAGATCAATCTGGATTTTGTCAAGGTGCGAACACGATCTGCATTGACAAGCATACACCCCTCTAGATAGTGATGAGATAGACGCCGGCACGGATCACCCTTCGGCTATTCTACGTTTCCAACTTTGTGTTCGTCGATAGAGGCCCATGCACGCTGTGCTCTCTACGTCGTCCATAGAAATCCCCACGTACTACTTTTAAAGTCCGAAGGACCTTTACTCTCCTTCACCCTGAATTGAGACTTTTTGAGCTTCCTAGCCGACATGATCTTTTCAAAAATCTTCAAACCCTTCTTTGGGGAGCACAAATTTGAAAACCTCAAATCAGAGGCTGACGATGATACTGACATCGAGTCAGAGAACCTCCTTCAGAACGGACCTGTTGGACGAAAAGCAGCTACCTCAAATGCCTGGATCTACTTTACCGTTGCAAACCTCATCATCCTAAGCATCACGGCTTCCTTGATCCTGAGTACAGGCACGTCTCGGACAAGTGAGAAGAATGCTGTCCTAAGGCCGATCTCATGGTGGTGTAAGTCTAGCTGTGGTTTGATTGTCTGCGCTGTAGCTAATCCATTGAAGCGCCCATCCTCGACGACATTGAAATCCCGAGATTCGAGACAAAGCTGAACGGGACACTCTTCGCTAAACCCGAGGTTTCAATAGCCCGAGAAGAGCCCGGCGTGGAGAACGACGCAGCTTGGGCTCAGTATGAAAAGGTCCTGACACACGTCGTCAACCGCGAGCAAATCCTCAAGCTGGGCAAAGACCCGGAAACCGTGGCTCGCTTCGACAATGACTACTGGGGAATGGGCGATGATGCTTACATGGTACAGATGGATGTGATGCATGTAAGTATCTTTTCAGCTTACAATAATGTTCATGATACTGATAGAGGGCAGCAAATCCACTGCCTTAACCTGCTGCGCAAGGCGGCTTTTGCTGATTACCCTGGCTATGAGCCAGAGTTGGACGAGAAGGACAAAATGTGGTGGATACACTTCGGTCACTGCACCGACATCCTGCTGCAAAACATCCAATGCAATGCCAATACCGAGTTCTTGACACTGAGCTGGGTGGAAGACCGCCAGGCTCCGTGGCCGGACTTCAGTGTGAATCGAAAATGTCGCGATTTCAACGCGCTGGTCGACTGGCAACGCAACAATGCTGTTGATCCGGACAAATTCGACCAAATGCCGGTTCCAAAGGACGCTTTTGTGTGGCCTGCACCTTGGAAGAAGCAAGAGACGGAACTGGGTGAGAAGCTGGGTCAGCATCATAAGCAGGAAGGTCTCGGCGATATGCATGCGCATCATCACGGTGCAGGGAATTAATTAAGACGTGAACAGTATGGCAGGGACACTAAAACAGTAGTTATGCTTGATCAAGAGTAAACATGTTGCTTTTGGACCCAAAAATGTGTCCATATGTTCCATAAAGTAAAATATGCATATATCACACATGACTACATAAGGTAAACTCTAACACACGCACTTGTCGAAACCTATCAATGTTAATATGTGATACGAGGGGAATTGTCGTCAATTATGCATGATTGCCTCCACGACACTATGCAGATTGTTCAGCTTTCAAGGCAGTGTGGAACTATGTGATGTATCATGCATGCATGAAGGATCCTGGTTCGCCTTCCATATCCACAGCCCCTCAATTGTCAACCCAATCTGCCAAACTGATGAAGATGCATACCTCATTCCCCGAAGGTAATGTACTCGTATGAAAGGCCATGCCTCCAGTTTCCTTGAATTTCTACTACGATTCTCTTTTCCGTTCGTTAGGCTATCCAACATGGTAGGGCATGTTTTTCCGCCGGAAGATGACCACCGTCTCAGCGGCGAAGATGCTCCGTTCCTCTTAGAAGATCTCAGGAGCCAGCCCGCGCCTGGAGATGTACCTTCCGATGATTCCAGCTCAGACACTGTTCTACCAGAAAAAGGCCGTCGTCGCCTGGTGATCACCCTGGTTGCGATAATGCTCACCTTTGCGATCGGGGGTCAGATGATCCCAGGTCCCATGGTGCGCATTATCGAAGCCATCGCCTGTGATGACTATTGGCGTGCACACGACCCAAGTCGGCTCCCGGCTTCGGGCCATGTAGTAGAGGGGCTGTGTAAGATAGAAGAGGTGCAGGAGGAAGTCACAACTATCAAAGGGTATATGGATTTCCTCGAGGGGCTACTCTGTTCGTGTCAATGCCCTTATCCGTCCGCATAATCTCATTGTCTGACTATGGCACAGCCGTCCTCTGCGCTATCCCGTACGGTCTATTGGCGGATCGATATGGGCGCAGGCGAGCGATCCGTCTTACCATTCCTGGATTTTTCCTGAACGCAATCATCACTAATTCCGTACTGTGGTTCTCTGATATCTTCCCTCTCAGGGCTATCTGGCTCGGGTCGCTGAGCTGGACTATTGGGGGAGGACCAGCTATCGCAATGGCGCTGATATGGACAATGTTGGCCGATCCCACGACAGATTCAAACCTTGCGATACTCTTCTTCCGGGTTGGAGTTATCATTGACATTACTAGTTTTCTCGCCGGCGTGTTAAGCGCGCAACTCATGACCTTTAACCCTTGGATCCCGATGATGGTCGGTTCTGGAATCGTTACTATCGGACTGAGCTGTGCTTTCTTTCTGCCGGAGACTATGAACGATTGTGTGAAGAGGAAATCCACAATACACGGGAATGAGCCAGATTCTTGCATGGATGGCTTGATTGTCGATGAGGAATCGTCCTATTCCAGCCCGAAAGTCCTCCCGAAACCGTCGAGACATCGTCTTATCTTGGGGAAGATTCGACGGTTCCTCAACCATGGCATCTTCATCTTCGACCACCGGATCTTGTTGCTACTCCTCGCTTCCGCCGTCGCCCAGCTCGCTGGGGGTTCCTCTGAGTTCTTGGCTCAGTATATTTCCACACGCTTCAGCTGGACTCTAGCGCGGGCCAATCTCCTCAAATCCTTCCACACAGCTGCTACCATCCCCGTATTCCTGTTCCTCCTTCCGTATCTTTCAACCCACGTCCTGCATTACCTATCGCTGCGTGGAAGGGATCTTTACCTCGCGCGTATGAGTATCGTCTGTCTAGCTGTTGGATCGCTCGGTGTTGGTCTTGCGCCTCACATCTTCTTCTTGGTTCCAAGCCTTTGCCTGCACGCGGCTGGAGGAGGATTCTCGCTTGTCGCACGGTCTCTGGCTACAGCCTTGGTAGAAAGGGACAAAACAGCAAGACTCTACTCGACAATCGAGATATTACAATTGGTGGGAAGTGTGTTGGGGAGTCTTTGCTTTACAAATCTATTCAAACTTGGGTTGAAACTGAGCGGGGCATTGGTCGGGCTGGCCTGGATAATGAGCAGTCTGCTCTTTGTATTGGTGGGAATCGCACTTATGATGCTTCGCGTATAATGCAGTTAAATTTCAGTCACCCATAGACATAGGTGGATCTGTCCCTTTCGCACTGCCAGAAAAGAGTATGATCTTGATAGTCTCATTCGTGTCTCGTCAATCCGGCCAAAACCTCACCCAGGCTTTCCGCTGGCAATGACATCAGCTTATTCGCGCTCTCCTCACTGTCCATATAGTTCCCACCATACCCCTTGACACACGTTATATATCGCATGAGCGCGGGCATTCCGCTATAGTTACCCTTGGCCAGCTTCTCCAAGGCAAGTCGTTTTTCCTCTTCCGCATCGTGGTAGGTTACGTCCCACTTTGCTCCGGTCACAGCTTCCAGAGAAGCGAGAATATCCACCTGGGATACATTGAATGACTCGATAAACAAGTACTTGTTGGAGGTCCTTTCCGGACTCAGCATCGCATTCTTGACTGCAAGTCCTATAGTGCTGCGAGTTGTCGCCGACCAACGATTCGTCCCATGGTCAAGGATCGTGGCGTGCCTCCTTTCCATGTCGAACCCAAGGAAATTGGAAACGGCTCTACTGCGGTCAGGTTTCTTTCGTCAGGACGAATGTCGAGCGCGACCGTCCACTTACATCTCGAAGAACGGCCCCGTCACGAAGGCCGTCCACTTGAGCCCATCCCCCTCCTTGCTCTTCAAGTACTCCACTACCTGTCTCTTTGCCGTGTAGAATTGCGGGAGCAGCTCAGCCGCCTGGTCGTTCCACGTGTCGTGGCCAAACTCGGACGGCACAAAATGTCTTACACCGGCCTTGACAGCTGCATTTATCATGGCCTTTTGCTGGTGTATGGCTTCCGTGGCGATCGTGCAAATGACTGCGTCCTGTCCGGTCAAGATTTCAACCAGCTCGGTTTCGTCGTAGTTGTCACTGACACGGTGGACTGGGATATGAGGCGGGAATGTGGACTTGGATGAATGACGGCTCAGAATGGAGACTTCAAAGTGAGGATGGGCGTCGAGAGCAGACACAATATGTGGTCCGAGATGGCCACCCGCTCCGACGACGATGACCTTCTTCATAGGCGACGTCATTGTTGAATAGAAACTGACGTTGAGTTCGTGGGTCAGAATAAGTCAGTATAAGTCGATTGCCTCTAAAGGAGTAAGAAAAATGGTTACACTTGTTCCACCTTTTCGAAGCTAATGAGTGCAAAGTAAGCTGCCTAGTGGTGGACTGTTCTGCCTAAGCTAGCATTACTGTCCTGGATTTGCTCTGAATATTGGGAATTAGCAATTGCGTGGTGGATTCAGTCTACAGCGTATGTAGCTCTATTGGCTATTGCTCATCATTGGTGCTATACGTGTACTTGCATGATATTGATATCTAGACACAAGGAGGGGTCATACTGCTCCACCTGCATTGGATAGCTCTTAGTCTCTCTCGTGCAGATGTAGATCCATTGGACAATCCACTCAACTACATACACGATCTGTGGTGGGTCAGATCTGCACTGTGTAGTCAAGAGTCATGTTACACATCACATTCTATCTATTCTGTCGCTCAAAGCTAGTAACCAACCACTGCTTGCGCCCGCTGTTTCTCAGCTGGGTTGGCAACGATGGCGGTCCAGTCGCGGCGACCCAGCCACCTCTGGCCCAACGAGGCCTAAGAAGATGGGAAATAGACTTTGAAGATGCAATCAGATCTAACCCGAAATCGCGACGCAAGAGAAGCCCACCAAATTCGGATTGGCGAGCATTCGCTAAACTATCAATCCTCGATTCCCGTACCTCCTACAACGGAGAGCTGTGCCTAGTTTCGATCTCGCGCGAACTGAAACCATCCTATGGGAATGAAGGACTACATGGGTCTCTTCGCCACCACGCTGGACGTCTATGGCTATACTCTTGTCCGCAAGGGAACTGACTACTCCAACTATGAAGTCACTATCTGCCAGGAACTCCAGGCTTTACGAGGCTATTCTGCCCCCGTGTACCTCGACGATATCCACTGCGGCACAATGTGTATTGTTTGCCAAGCTCGTATTATCCGCCATACATCCCTACTGGCGTGGGAGGGAGCTCGTTGAAGGGGTCAAATACTCCTTCAGATCCGTACGAATCGGACTAGAGGAGAAGTCACCAGTGCAGCAGTTGAACACTTTGACGAGCATGCACGAAATATGCTGTGGTGTAAGGAGGTACGAGTCACGTTTATCGACGCCAGCCATGCAAAGTTGACTTGGAAACCGAAAGACGCAGGATTGAGCCGAGTTCCGCGTGTGCCCCAGAAACTGGAGAATGCAAAGGTTATCAAATTGCTTATCTAGAGCTCTCAGTCATGTCAGGGCTTTTTTGTGTTCTAGGTACGATACGCTACTGCGAGAACGCATACGGATCTTCTTTTCATCAGCGCTCTCGTTCCTAATAGCATTGGGACCGTTCCTCCTGCAGAGTAGTAGTAATGGCAAGTCTTCCAGTCTTGACGGAAGCAACCCTGCTGATGCCATCGAGCAGTTCCGCAAGCGTATTCTTCAACTTGGGCCATTCGCCCGACCTAGTCTCGATATGTCCGCGAGATGCATTCACTGTGACTAGGATTTGTTCATGTGTCGAGATGAAAGCCGAAAGCTTCAACGCGGCCGCGTGGACTTCACTAATAATAGTGTAGAAGTCTTCCAACTTGGCCTTCCATTCACCACAGGGACTGAAGACCAACTTGAATATCTCACGAAGCGTCCTGTCAAGGACTGCACTCTTTTCGCCGACCTCATAGTCGATTTTAGCGGGATGAAATGCTTGAATAACTCGCGTCTCAAAGTTATCAATAGTGGCAGTAAGGACACGTTGAGCCGTGGCTCTAGCCATTGATGAACACAAGCTGTCAACGACTGGATGATTGAAAGAGCGGAAGCGTGCTGGTGGAGACCGAGCAAAACACTGGCAGGAGATAATAATCGATGGTTTGATGTCGCTCAGAATGCCGACGGTAAGGCCGAAGATTTCTTGAACGACATCATCCCTCTGGCTCTCGTCAAGCGCGTCCAGCCGATTGTCCGACAACATAGGAAACAGGTCCATTATCATGACATCTTCCAGAGTTAAGCCGCACGAATGCAGGACATTCTTCAACCAAGAAAGCGTTGAGGTCTCTGTAACCATGTCATCGAAAGGTAAATCATCATTCTTCGGGTTCGTTAAAACGATGAGCGGAATGTTGCGGCAGCCACAGAGCAAGTCCCTGAAATTGAAGAAGGTCTGTTCTGGCCATTGATATTTCTCCCAGATGGCTTTCGCCCGCAGAAAGCAAGGATCGTCGGGAGAAAGCCATTTGAACTCACTCTTCCGTCCCAGTTGCGGCTTTAGAACGTCGGTGATGAGCTCTTCGAGTTCTGTTTTGCTTGGTTCGGTGGGGATAAAGTGCTTAAAATGATTAAGAGGCTGAGAATCAACACTGCTTTTTTTTAGAGAGTCTTTGGTGTATCTTAGAAACAGGTTCATAAATACAACATTACTATCACCGCCTGATGATAATAATTATTAGCTATCTCCTAAGTTAAAATTAGTGTTTTACTTAGGCGGTTTTGATGAAGGCCTCAAGGGCGCTATTCTTGAGCCTCTTACAGCTTTTGAGACTGTGCATGCTGGTATCATCTGCTCACCTATGAATCTCTTTTACCACTCTTCTGATGTTCTGCAGACATACATCTCAGCACTATACATCTGGGAGTATACCACAACAAGCTGTTCCCTAAATTTGAAGAGAAATTTGTTCAGTCATGCCTGAAATTGCCTTCCATGTCATGTACATACAATTATGCTCCCAAGCCTAATCACCTGAGAGGCTAAATCAAATACAGATAGTGGATGTACTAGCACTTGTTTCAGCAAATAAACTGTTCTGTATCCAACCGGTAACATAGGTAGGCTTTGTATAATACCAGTATGGAAGATACAATGTTTCTAGAAGAGCGGTGCAAACTTATCAAACAAGTTGACAACCCGCACATTTAGCAATCTATCAACGAGTTACCTCTCTTCTGCAATCTCGCAGCTGGCTACTACTGAGCGTCAGGGCATTCGTGAGGCTATCCGGTGTCAAGCAGGATAGATAGGGCTCTCTAAGCGCATTCTTGCAAGGAAAATAAGAAGGCTAAGGCCATTGCTGATAGTTCAAGAAACAATCGAGGAGTGTAGGACCATTGTGGGTTGATTCGTTCAACAAATGCACTAGCCCCTACGGTAGTCGGCCCGACTTACGGCGGACTGAATGTACAAACCGGCCAAAATAAATTTTTTACTGTCACCTGCTTGTATTACTTATAGCCACTACTTCCACAAAGTTATAATCATAAAAGAAATACTTAGTGACTGTATTAAATCACCATATAGTAGGGATATTGAATGATTCAAATCGTCATATAGTAGGGATTCGAATTGTTATATAGTAGGGAATATTGAATGATTCAAATCATCATATAGTAGGGATTCGAATTGTTATATAGTAGGGAATATTGAATGATTCAAATCATCATATAGTAGGGATTCGAATCGTTATATAGTAGGGATATTGAATGATTTGAATTGTCATATAGTAGGGATATCAAATCATCATATAGTAGGGATATTGAATGATTCAATCGTCATATAGTAGGGATTCAAATCGCCATATGGTAGGGATATCAAATCATTTGAAATGATTCGAATCATTATATAGTAGGGATATCGAATCACTATATAGTAGGTATATTGAATGATTCGAATCGTCATATAGTAGGGATATCGAATGGTTCAATTGTGATATAGTAGGGATTCAAATTGTCATATGGTAGGGATATTGAATCCTTATATGCTGAGGTAGTGCCCTATATGGGTAGTATATATATATATATAGAAGGTCATATAGGAACCCACTAACTAACACTGTATATTTAATATATATATACCTAAGTATAGTAATATATAAATAATATAATTATTTAAATAATTCAAATTCCTACTATATAATGATTTGAATCCCTACTATATAATGATTCGATATCCCTACTATATGATGATTCGAATCCCTACTATATAGTGATTCAAATCATTTAATATCTATATGATATAGGTACCATATATTTTATATAAAAATATTAGTTTCTATAAGCATGCTAGATAGGCTATAGGCATAGTGGTGCGTGTGGTAGTTTTGGTAGTAGTGTGGCGGAAGGTAATCATTGTAAAAATTTATTTTGGCCGGTTTGTACATTCAGTCCGCCGTACGACTACTAACCCGATGCCTCTCTCTTGATAATCACGACATCTGACATGGCTTCACACAATTCCAGGGAGAATTCTAATGACCCTCTCAGACCGAGAGTTTGCTGCATGTCAAAATTGATATGTGGTAAGGGGGTGCCACTGAAAGTACAATGTAGTTGAACCATAGTGTTGCTTTCCGGCCTCGACTGAAGGAAACATAGGAGATCGCGGAGGCTTATATCAAACACACCTTTTTACGTCGGTTAGTCTCGATTTTCATGAACACGGGGAGCGTTTAATGAACCAACTTTCAGTCTTCTTTGAGTTGAGCAACCTATCAAAAAAGCCGTCGCATATCTTGAGTGATGCATCCCTCAAGCAGCCCGGAATTGTCACAGTCTTCATCCATTTTCTCAGAGCTGGTACGGTAGACTTCTCCTCCAGGAGATGCCATTGATATGTCGGTATAGCAATTATGAAAAGAACAAAAAGCACAGGAGAAACACTATAAATCTTTGATAATAGTTTCTTGGCCTTGTTGCGCTCGGAACGTCGCTGCTTTTCAAGAGAGTCATCCTTTAGAAGCTGCTTCCGGCAAGTTTCCACACCGTCATTTTCTGCTAAAGCTAGCTCAAGTCCATTCATTCCGTCGAATGTATTAAGCTGTTTCTGCAAACGGTGAATGACTTTGTCAATTTTCATTGCGCGGGCCATATTGATGCTGGCTCGAAGAATGTGATGCTGGGACAGAATGATCAGATCTTCCGGACCTCCCGGACCTAGCAGTCACATTAAAAAGTACCGGAATATAACTTTTCCGCTTCAGAAATCAATCCGAGAACATGAGCTACATGAGTCTCCCAAGGACTCCTTGCTCCAACGATCTGATTACCGGGCTACCAAGAGATGACAAACGTTGATAGTGGAGTATCTGTCTAGGGTTTTCAACTCGAATCAAAACATCGTACATGCCACCTACGCGAGTAAACATGACCCTGACAATCCACGACTTGACCCCTTTAACATTTAATTAACCAACAAGCATGGATCCTTTCCATTATAAGAACCACTCAAGGCCCACGAAGTTCAGGACATAGTCGGAATATCCCCTTTATTACTAGCCCTAGTGCTCGCCCGGGTAGTTCCGAAGGGATACAATCGGTCGGTGTAGGCACGAGTCCGCTTGATCAGATTCTCTCGTTCTTTCACGTTCTCGTACGGACTTATCGCACTGAGTAAAACGAAGATAGATTAGCGACGCAATAGAAAGGGGGCATATTTTCGCTAACATCGAGTCTTTCCTGTGGACACGGTAGATTTCATGTTCCAAGGAATGGTCTATTGGTCCCTTGAACTGTTCTTTTTCGAGATCTACAATGATATGGAACCGTGTTTGGGGCTTGGACGTTTGGTGCTGGAATGGTTCGGCGCGGTAATAGTGCCTCTCATCTTTTAATTCTTCCACTGGTCGCCCAAGGTACCTGAACAGTGACTGAACAACTTCGAATAAAAGGGGCTCAGACCAATCTCCAAACTCTCCCACACTGAGTCGCAGGATAACACGCTTTGGCGCCATAGGGAAGGTGTATATAGTTCGGATGCACCAGACATTATTTAATACCCACTCCTATCTCCTCTTATCATAGTACAGTTTAGTTACGCGGTTTTTCGTTCCCGAAACCAAACCAAATCTAACCATAGTTAGTAGGCCTAGTGGCGGATTTTATGGTTAAACTTGTACTGAATCAGAACAGGTCAAGAGCTGCCCAGCTTCAGTGGGTTCTAAATTCTAAGTAATCTGTGTATTTCCCCTGGTCCTTTGCCTGTTCTACTTGCTATTCGGGAGGCCATGATCATCTACTCCATCAACTTCGGCTTAATTGAACCCGTATATGTGCAACCTACCATCATTGAAGCGGTCAATGTGTTACTGGGCTGGGCCACCTTCGTGGTTGGCGCCGAGGGGGAGGAATACCGATGCCGTAAAACGGGCACCTCACGCGGGCCTGGCCCTGGAACCGGACTTGATTGGCATTGGATTAATTGATGCGCGCCCTAAGTGCATCAAAAAGGGCTGGAGTATGTCTTTGTCGATAAGCATAAAGGCTGTTTGGGGTGGAAGGATAGTAGACCGGCGGCCAAGCGCAGCGAAACGCTTACTGCCCAGCAGTAGCAGCTGTTTCCTTATTTCAGCTGTTGTCTGGTGCCGTGATGATGTTTCCTTCTGTGATGTTTATCTTTATGCCTGAGCAATCCTACATACAGCCCAGGTAGAAAAAGACCATTGACTCCTTGGACATGTCTCAACGAGATCTCTCTACAAGGCATAAACCAATCCCTCTTCAGGGCGCACATCCCCATTTGAAAGACGTTCCCAGCCCCCGTAAATCCCATTCTCTCCATCGATGCCCTGTCCCCAGACCAAATGCATGTCTGGGATAGCGGACGTACGGTCTGCTAACCATTCCTTCCACCTGCGCGAGACCATTCCGAAATATGTTGCAGCACCCTCCCGGTCAATGATTGTGTCCTGGATGCCAGAAGTGTTGTACTGGATCTTTCCCAGCGATTGCATAGCTGCACGCGCTGCCTGGAGTTCTTCCGTCGTGTACACCTTAATAGGGTCAGCGGGCATCCTCAGACGCGAAATCAGGGAGACCAACCTTCTGTTGACTGCCCACCTGCAGAATGACAGTTTTGCATGACCGGAGCGCCGACTCTCGAAGATTCTGGGATATCTGACCGAGGGTATTCTCTCGCGCCCCGCAATCTATGATCACCACCTTTGTCGGCTGCAGACCCTCAATCCACCCGGTTGCTTGGTCGATTTCCGTATATGCAAATGCCTTGGACACATCCCCCCAGCCCTTTCTATCTGCCACCTCCTGTACAACACCCGGCGATGAAGTAACCTGTACCAAACCCAGAGGACCACTTGCCCTAGGCCGATCAAAGAGACACCATGAAAACGAGCGCGCAACCTTGGTCGACGCACCCAAAACCACCACAACAGCAGATGAGGGGTCCGCATCGTCTGCAGACCAGGGGAGTTTGCTCGCCGCGCCAAGCGGGTGAACTGGTTCTCGTTCTCGCAGGTCAGGAGGAAACACATACTCAATCAGCAGGTACCCGGCGACCCAGACCCCTCGCAAAAGGGCATTCCACGCCCTCTCGTCCAGTTTCTTTTCTTCGTCAGGGAGCACTTGTTCGTAGCGATTGTATATGGGCATCAGCTGTTGTCTATTGCTACTAACCTCCACCCAGTGGCCTTCAGGATTGCTAGGTTCGAGGCGCAGGAGAGTGAGCGACGTTGAGGTAGGCCAGTATCCCCAGATGAGGGAATCTGACGGGATGCCAGGAACATTACTCTCGGTGACGGTAGCGTATCCCCATGCCGGGACGATGCCCCAGAGAGACTGGTCGTTGTATGGGGACGGCGCGGTAAGTGGGACCGGGTGCGTTTTCCACCTGTGGCTGTCAGTGAGCACAGGGGAATAAAGCCAGACCGGCATACCAATGCAGTAAATCTCCTCCACGGGCGTAACTGAGGTTGTTGGAAGTCAATCCTAGAAGGATCGGTCGCGCACGGAGCGACGAGGAAGGCAGCTTCTGGTCTACCGACGAAGGAATACTCACCACAGCGTGTTTGCTGTTGTCGGCTTTGCAGACAACATGGATCATCTCTGGGCTTGTAGCGGCGGATTGCATTATGACTGGGATTTGATGGAGTGATTTTGATGTGTGAGAGAGAGAAAGGGTTGTAGGACCAAAAAGCTGATGGCCTCTTCTCTCCGGTTTCGTCCTTTGTGCTTTTCTTTTTTATCTGATCCCTGCCCCTCAGCCCACCCCCCTCCTTAGTCGCTTGAGCGGCCGATAATCCCCGTAGCGGTGGGTCGTTTCAGCTGCGCAGATGTCAGATTTTAGTCGGTCTGGACCAAAGAACTAACATTTAGCGGGCACGCTGCTCAAAAGATGCATGTGAGTTACTATGCTGGACAATTCCCGAAGCAAATATTAGAAAGCAAAACCTTACATGAAGTTGAGAATGTTACCCTGTCTTCTTATATGAGCCATACAACTAGCGTAACATCTCACTTCAAAGCTGTTACCTGTCTAAGCAATCTGATTTCCAAGAAGCTCGTACATTCCTTCCTCGAACAATCTCACCAGTTCCTGCGCTCTCGGATCGGCGGGGGGCAGCAACTGCATGCCAATTACGCCACACAGTCCTCTGGCCCGGTCAATAAACTGGAGGATGTTAGCAATCAGTACCTTCCAACCTAGATATTACCGGGAAGTTACCCAAAAGAGGTTCGGCATGCCGCTCCAAATCATAGTGCCCTTGGACCTTCTCCCGTGTCCGTCACTCTGAACCAAGATACCGCCCAAGCCCCAGTCATATTTCAGATCCGAGGGGAAATCGCCGACGAATATCTTTATCTTCTTTGGGTCATCGACTAGGGCCTTCTGCGCGGCCTTGCTCTCCACCGTCAGCTGTGGCTTGAAAAAGAGGTCGGCAGTCTCCTTCCGCAGCAGCTTCCCATCGTTGACGAGCAACGATGTCAAAATCTTCATATAATCCTCCAGATTGCCATAGGCACCCTGTCCACCAAAGCAGTCATCTGCCCCGTCGTTAATGTACGGGCCATTGTAAGCTTCTACGCCGCCGGACGACGCTCTTGTAGTCATGGCCGCTAATTTGCGTTGAATGGACGGATGCTTGTGCGGCCAAAAGGTGAAGCTGGTGATATCGAGAGGGGCGAAGATGTGCTTCTGAAAGTAGGACTCCAGTGTCTCTCCCGACACTCGCTCCACAACCTTTCCTGCCCAATCGATACCCGGGCTGTAGTCCCAGCCAGTCCCTGGCTCGTACGTCAACGGGTACGCGAAGCGTTCCACCACAGTCGAACTAGTCTGCGGGGTGCTGTTATTCAAGGCCGCCCATCTCTGGAGCGACGGGTTCAAAAAGTCGTAGGCAAGACCAGCGCTATGGGTGAGCAGATATCGCAGCTTGAGCGGGTTCGTTCGTTTCCGGAGCTGCGGTTCGCCGGTTCCCTCGTCAAACCCTACGAGCACCTCTTGCTCCGCGAGTTCAGGGATGATGGGTGACATATCGTCGTCCAGGCTGAGCTTCCCTGCCTCCACTAACTGCATCGCCGCGATACAGGTAATTATTTTCGTGGCGGAAGCAAAAGAAAGCACTGTGTCCGTTCGCATCAAACCTTCCTCTCCATCTCCAAATGTGCGGCGACCAAATGCTTTCGAGTAGTTGAATTTACCTGCAATGGTCAGTGAAGATCAGATACGGGCTGGGCAGACGTACCAGAAGTATCTCTGCCTAGAAGAACGGCTCCCAAGACGGAGCCGTTCTCTGTCGCATTTCTAAACACTTCGTCCAAAGAGGCCATGGCTTCGCTTTTCCTAGCGCTCTGCCGCGAGGTTTTTAAGTAGTAATGTTCAGTACGTCAAACAAGGGGGAATAAGGTCCTTTCTTAAATGATCCATGAAGATGTGATTATAAATTAATAAATACGTCTATTACTATACCTGGCATGGATATTTGTCATCAGTTCACCTCGGTTCGGCGCAACCCGCATCAAAGCTCCACATAAACTTGAAAGGCTTTATCTAAGTCTCCGAGAGTATACTACTACTGTATAGCCTGTAGGGAAAGATTTTGATCTACCTGTTCTTCCACAGGCATGCAGCCACAAACACCTTATTTCTATACAGTAATTACTAATGTGCGGACTGCCTACCATCCTTTATCATTTACAACTCTTACGTGATGTCACATGCCGCCAAGCACATCTGATTCTGGACTCTCCTCCTTCCATCTATCCACATACTTTGCATCCCTAGGAGCAGCTCTATTCTAGCAGGATACTCATTCAAAGGTAGTCTCTGGACGAAATCTGACTTTGCTTGTCAGCACGTGGTCCAATGCCGCCTCTACCTGATCCAGGGTAAACTCCTCAACCATGCAATTCATGCCCTTTTTACGACGAAAGTAATCGCTTCCTCAATCTCCATTGCCTATCTAGACTCCAGAGCAACAATGAATGGATAGTCCTTGGATAACAAGGGGGACGAATTCGAAAGAAACATCGAGGACAGCTGCATAGTATGCCATCATAACAGCAAGAAACTGGACACAGAAATATGTTCCTTATTTGTTGACATGCAATCCCTAGCATCACCTGCTCATATATAGCACATATGCCAACTACTATCTAGTGGCCGTAAAGAAATTGAGAACGCGGCAAGTATCACCCCGGTGGCGTGTTAACACTCCTTAAATACAAGAGTATTCCCTTTAGATCACACTCTGACAGTCCTGATTATCTTTGGCTTTAATGGCTCCATTAAATTATAATAAATCCAGGAATATCCCGCCATAATAGTATAGGTCCTATTCTTAAAACCTTTAAAATGATGGATACGTTACCATTAAATGTTTTATTCATAAAATTAATGAAGTAAAGCATCTAAACAATAATATTAAGCCTAAGATATAAAAGTCTATTATTATTGAAACCAGCAACAGCCTAATACAGTAAAGTATTTTAGCTAGCGCCAGTCTAAGATTCCATGATCAGGTAGTGGGAAATGAGTTCATATACAAGCTACATGAGAGGAGCATTAGCCAAGGCAATGAATGGACAGGGTACCTCTTTGATGGCGCGTTGGTGATTGAGCTTCATCCATTGCTCACGCCATAACTGCTAATCTATGCTACCTAGTGCTGTGACTGTTACAATATCAGTAATTACATGCTCATGAACCAAGTCAGACAATGTTAGTAGGAAAAGAAAGCACTCGACTACATGATAGACAAGTTAGATCATTCTATAGTTTGGATTACTAGCTGTTCTAAGTCCTCCCAACGACATTAAACCAACCTATTCATAAAATGGCTCACATCCTCATTACATTGAATGTGGCCCAGCGTCCAATATCCATCTTGTTCCATTATAGCGAGGCTTCCACGCATGTTGTAAACTCAGGCATGAAGGTATGGCAGGAGTAGTTGGCAAACGAGGCACTATACGAGCGAGAGACGCCTCTTGAGACCAGATTTTTAGGCTGCAAGTGATGACCTTAGTAAGCTATTGCGCCCTGGCTTTCGATAAATGCTGGGCTAAAGAGCTTGCCAAAGCATAAGGCCAAGATTGTTTTGTAGGTGTTTTACGCAAAATGTCAACAGAGTAATTTCGCTTATTTAATATGAAGATGGAAACAGCTTGCCAGACTTGGTAATTATTTTCCATATGGGAAACGAAGGAATTTGCAACTCATTAGAATACAGTTAATTGGTTTAGCCAGCCGTCAAATCGTAATCTCATAATATCACCCAAATTCGTTGACCCATCCGCTTGCACCGCCACTTGCTCCATGTCTCGGAGAATTTGCTCTATATAATCACCTGCGCCACTGAGTTTTAAAATATGTGCAATAGCACGGTGAACGCCGAGAAGTCGAGGAGAAGGTGGGTCAATAGTATGGTGAGGACTGAGCATCAGCGTGCGAATAACAGGGAAGAATGGGTCACGCAGAAAACCACTCTCTGTAGAATCAATACTGTATTCGTAAGGTTTGCCTGTTGGCTCAAAGTATATCTGAAATTCCCCGAACAACCGGTGGCACTCAAGCGTCAATGTGAGAGCATTCAGAGGGCTATCGATCTTTGGGCCATCAATGAGATGGGCGATGCCAGGATCAAATATATCCAGGATTCGCAGCACGTTCTTCTTCGAATCGGACTAGGCACCTATCAGCGGAATGTAACACACTATAGATTTACTCATACCAGTTCAGAATCTCCAGGGGCAACTGTCGTCAGACAGTGTGGAATTATATGCGCGACTTCTAGATGAACAAAGTTGTCATGGGGTTCAGAGTCGAGTCGCTTCCCATCATCATCCTCACAGTTCTTATCCTTAGCACGACGTTTTCTGGCTTCTGCAATATCGAATTTCCTGGTCACTACACATCGATGGTGATCACGGATGAGGCAATCGTGTCTGAGCAGAGATATGCGCTGTTTTGTCCCAGTCGGCGTAGACCCTTGTATCGCGGACAATGATGTGGGTGTTGGTTGCGGCGTCTTTACAGATGAAGCTCTGACTGGATTGCATCAGCCAAATGGAATTAAATTTGAGAAAGAATCATCATGAACGCACGTGGGAGAAAGAATTGAGTGACCATAAAGTCTGCGAATTCTTCGACAGCACCCTTAACTTTGCTTTGCATAACTACGTCCCAAGAGGCAAAATCATTGAAATAAGACAAGGCTAGAGCAATATCGGAGTTAACCTGAGTCAGGCACTCATGGAGATAAGTAAAGAAAAAGGTTAAAAATGAATCTTTTGATGCAACGTAGTTGAATGTGTTGCGGATAAGTATTGCGGGCAAATAACCCTTCTGTGAAGTTTGCTCTAGGCCATAGTGCTCAGTAAGCGCATTAAGTAGACTCCTTGCTGTCTGATTTTGCTGGGGCGTTAGAAAGAATGGTTCTGAGAAATTCAGAACATCCTCAAGAGATGACTGATGCCTGTGCAAGGACATTGTCCTTCAGCTTAGCAAGAAAGGTGAGGTTGTGAAGTGCAGCTTCCAGGGCGCGATGGTTTGGGAGGACGGATTTATAACGGACCGGAATGGAGGGAAGTACGGAGTAGTCTAACTGTATTTAAGTGCCCATTGTGCTTCTACAATTGGATCACATGACACCCACCTGATTTGATGACCCACCCCATATTTTCTTCTTCCGATTTGGACATGGAAGGCGAAGCTTGGTGCCACTGTACCAGTTGGCAATTACAACTTGATAAAAACAATTGAAAACCCTAGCTCGGCTTTTCCTTAGCCCCATGTCACGGCAAGCCTCGGTAGGGGCGGCATTCTGGACGTTAAGACCCCTGCCGATGCTGAGAAAGCCGAGAACTAGTAACAACCAGGTATGCGTGGAACGGGATGGCATACGCGGAGATGCTGTTGTTTCTCGAATCAGAATGCGTGTTTTGAAGGAGTCCTTGCGACTATTATAGCGGCTGACCCTAACAAGCCTGGGTGTAAATGCTACATGGATGCAACATACTCTTTTGGGCTAGAGCGCTTTAATGGCTTTACATACTATGCAGGGATTATCTTTTAGATCAGTGGGCCAACTTGCGTCCGCTATAACTCAGTTAATAAACTTCCCCAAGGTGGTTCATGTAAGCACATGTCTAATACAAATACCGCGTTTATGTTGGTCTGGAGCCCTTGATCTTCCCAACCATCCACGGTCTTTCCCTATAAAATTTATATCAAAGCAACTAGGTAGGCAGAGTCCTATAAAACTCAGAAAGCACCTCATCTCAACAATTACAACAAGCTGGAACCTACCACTAGCCATTATTCCAAAAATTATTGCCTGCAGTTTATTCCAGTAGCACAGTTTTGTCCTCAGCCAAACTCACCAGAAATTGGGACCATTCCACCAAATTCGCGAACACTTATCGGCTATTCGTTCTTCTAATTGCCGTTCCATTAGGGTGTGTAGGAGTGGTTGCCGGTGTAGACGAGACTTTTCTCAGAGAGTGTACATGAACAGAGTTGTCTATTTGACATAAACAGGCTGAGACGAAAAAAGACTTTCCCACGCATCCATGGATTTTCCCTCCCCGTCAGTGCTACATTCCACTAATAGCAGCCTCTTTAGATACAATATCCACTATGCTTACGAACAAGACCATCAAGAACAATATTAGCTCAAAATGTCGGCCCGTCCTCAGAACTCCTGGATACACTGGCGGCACCATTCGGAAATCGAGCTCCGCCTAAGTCACGTGGTCAGACTTTCAAATTCGCCAAGACCCCAGCCTCCCGCCTCCCCTTTTCCCATTCTCTCTGGCCATTCCTTCTTCACCTTCCTCCTTTCACCATCTTCATCCTCTAAAGAAACGATTTGCTCTTTGCCGTCCTCGCCGCCAGTCCTGCCATTCCTGTGTCTTCATAGGACTCTCCGATCTCACTTGTTGACTTCGGATTGGGCACGTACTCGTGACCAGGCCGCAAGAGCTCTTACGAATGTACTCATTATCATTATTCACCTACGTTTTACGCGAGTCAGGGCTGCTCAACACTGCTCCAAAGCCCGGGTGGGAGGGCTACTCGATTCATCGAGGGTTCTTCTTTAATCCAGCGAATGTTGCAACAACACAATGACCACCACTTCGCAAAACTCGCCCTGGGTCTTGAAGAAGGCAGTTCTTGTTCATGCACCCGATCTTGATGTTTTTTGTCGTGCTGACCTTCGTATTGGCCATAATCAAACTACCAAACAAGGATCCATCTCCCTTTCGATTACGGCAAATCTCACTAACATGAGCGGCAGATCACAGGTGCTCACTTTGAATATTCCCCCAGACAGAGTCAAAAAATGTGCTTTGGCTCGGAAAAGCAACGATAACCTCTGTCCATCTCATTTTCTTTCCATTCTCCCGGCACCTGTCACCAATGTTTCGGACGTCTCAACACTGAGTCTGAGCCTCGGTACGACCGGCATTGTTCTTTGTCCATCGGAGATGGAGAGTCTAAGCCCAGCCACACCAGGACACGTGGATTTTCGCTCATTTGCAAGGATTTGTCAATCCAAATTTCTCCGTCTACACTTTTCCAGACGACAGTTTGTGAATAAAGAACTTGATAAGCTGGAAAATTTCGCCTGTGCCCTGCGAAAAAGAAGTCTTCAGACAGTGTCATTTAACCACGCTCGCCATGGCGTGGTCCAGAAAGATTGGCGTGTCTTTAATCTGTCGCCCGATCCGCCCCCATATTGTCAGGAGCCCTTGTCCGAGCAGGCAAAGGAAGCGGATCCACCCCTATATTGTGAGGAGTGCGTGTCCGAGCAGGGGATTGGAAAACGGCGCAGAGGTATCTTCTCATCTTACTGTCTGAGGTACTCTGTCGTTCAATAGCTTAATAATAGTATCTAGACCCATGGTCAATGTCACCTAACGATGAAAGACGAAAAAGAGTGCTCCTTCCATCCCCTCAACCGATAGGCTCTCCCACCGAAGTGAATACGCCGAGTACTCTCTCCCCGTCACCGTCCTCGATTCGCCCAACTTACTTTACGCATGCTTCCTCTCCTGGCCACACAGAGTGTAAGAGACTTACACGTCTTGAAAATGAACTCCGTGGTGTTTCCGATGACCTGATTCGCGAACTATTAATCCGATCAGGACGCCAACATCTGCTGGCCATGCCAAAAGACGTAGACCGTGAGGACCTAGAGAAAGTGAGCTTTGCCGAGGTCGAGATGATTGAGCGTCGCCTCAAACATTATGTCGATGAGATGATTGAGCGCCGCCTCAAATCACACGTTCTCGACGAGATTGTCGATAGTGCTGTCAGCGAGTGTCGTGATCAGATCTACGACGAATGCAAAACGAACGAAGCCGAGTTTCGTGAACAGGTCGACGATGGTAACTCCGAGGTACGCAATACAGCCAATGAATGCATGAATGAAATCAAAGAACAGGCGCGAAGGTACATGCATGAAATAGAAGAACAAGCGCAACAGTACATGAAGGATATCGAGGATCAGGGAATCGAGGTTGAGATGTCTGCGGAGAAAAAAGTCGCAAAGCTCAAGCGATGGTTCAATGCTTCTGCTCAGTCCTTACTTGGCAGCAAGTCAAGCCCTAGCCACGAGCTGGGTGCCAATGCCAGGCGCAGTTCCATTTAAACTCAGTACTAGGTTTATATCTCTTAGGATTGTCGTCGTGCAAGTTGGATTCTTTGTTAGTCCAGGAGAAAGGTGGGTGAATCTCGATCGCTCCTGACGTTAGAGCTTTCCAGTCGTCGCTGTCTGTAAGTAGACATAGCTGCAGCCTTAGCCTGCCGAAGGATGAAGTCCCTCAACGACAAGCGTTGCGAGGATGTGGTAGAGGGTAGCGTCAGCAGAGATCGGGTGTCTCCTAGAGAAGATGACATTTCGAAGAGGAAAAGAGTGGGGGTTGCTCTTAACAGAGAACAAAAGTTCCTGATGGAGGATGGGCCATCCTCTCTCTTGTGTTTTACAACTTCGCAAAGTTCCCATCCCTTTTACCTAATTCAGCTAGTGCTTGATCTGTTTCATGTATAACTCATATACCTAGCTAATGATGCCCCAGATAATCATCTAGTAATAAATACTCTTAATTAACTTACCTAAAAAGCTCAACCAACTGGAATGACAACCTCTTATTTAATATATTCCTGATAGACATTATGCTTATAATCCTGATAAGTAGAGTTAATTTCTAAATATATAATAACAGTGGATAACCAAGTAAGTTTAGTCTAAACTTCTAAATATTCTTATTAATACACTAGTCATATAATTTCTACTGGAGTTATAAAACCTGATAGCACTAGCATTAAGAAATACTCTCTTATAGAGCCTCTTAGTTTAACCACATCATCTAGAAGCAAATCAAAATTTAAAGCGCGTACATTATTGCTCTAAGGAGTATAACGCACTTGAATTATACAGTACTCGTAGTAGGAAGCTAGCTGCAGACTGGCAGCCCTCAACTATCGTCCATAACTTATTTGCAACTAAGGATCATTTCCTATCATTCAGCCTACAATCCCTAGAACATTCAGAAAGGGGGATTGTACAAATCTTGACATCCCTGGCTTTGGTCGTAAATTATTGCTACGAGAAATATCCGCTTGGCAGGCAAGGTGGTCAGGATGATTCATTGAACCAGTAGACACCTTGCCCTTGGATACTTGGACCTGGCTGTCTGTAACAAGATAAACAGCAGCAGTATCCTACCTCTGCGGCCATCAAGAACCAAACTGTTTGAGTTGTCTATGAAGCTGAAGTATAATTCAGCTAGGGTATCTGCCTTAGACATAGGCCATCTCATATACCAGGACCTCTAGAAGCATTAAAGGCTAACTAAGAATGTATGTTGGTCATGCATGCACTTATTATTCTATTATAGCCACCTGTATGTGCATAAAATTAGGACTCTTGAGGTTCCAGATGGCAACCTGCCTAGCGCTAAAGTTGTTTCACATTCAACCATTCTTTAGGTCTTACTATTACGGCTAACTGGTTTTAAACTTACCTAAACTTAGACTGAATGCAACTCTAATCTAGTCTAGTGCCTAGGCAATGAGTGAGACAAATTGTGCTACCTAACAAATATGTGGGAGGATGATTTGACATTACTAGATTATGAAAAGTTCAAGCAGCTTCATTCGTAAAATCGCGCATCTTTTGTAGTAGCTTCATGATATTATAGCCAGTGATCGCATACCAAGAACGCTCATAGGTAGTCAGGAAGAATTTAACATCCTTCTGTGGTTACTTCCTTAGACCTCAAGGCTGATTCACCATCCTCCTAGTGCTTTCAGTGCTCTTGTCTCTGTCCGTGCTGCGCGTGACTGTGCTTATGTTGATATCAGGGTACTCTCTCGGCGGCGACTCGTCCTGGATGATCTGAAGGTTTTGGGCGTTGAATGCGAGTTGGGTTTCTTAGAGCCTGTTGCGGAACTCAACTCTGTTCCCTCGAACATATGGACAGTGTTCATCCCTAGGGCCAGACTGGTGATCACTCGGTATAAACTGGGGATGCAAGCGGTAATGATACTGACGTTCATCATTGCCCTACAGCGAGTCATTAGATTTATACGATCGTCACTGTGCAAGGGAAGGAAACAGACTGGTTACAAGCAGTCACACTGACGATTGTCCCTGTATGCCACTGGTAAGCGTCAATGCAAGTACTGGAGAGGACCACCGTACAAGTTGTATCAGTTGAACTGAGATATTGCGTCAAGTACGTCACTTGGACAATATTCACGACAATGACCCTTGGCTCGTCAGCAGTGGTCCTAAGTGACCTAGATTGAACCCACAATGAACGAGATGCAAATGCTGATGAAACCTTGAGGCGTTGGATTCGAGGCATTTGCACGTTCCATAGCATTACAGTTGGGAGGATGACAAGAGCTGCGTCAAGGACCATGTTAAGAATCATGATCGGGTATATGATCGCACCCTAAAAATCTGAGCAACGGGAAATGATGCTTTTGGTCGGGGCCTACCTTTCCTATGCAGCGACTGGGCGAGTATTCCCAGTAGGGGGCACGGCATTGAAAAGCAGTCCCGAAGAGAGCGAGCAGCGTCCAGACACCTACTCCTATCTGTGCCGTAAGACACCATCGCCAAATTGATTTGCTTGGGCTGATTGAGCGGATGAGATTGCCGGTTGACACTTTGGACAGTGCGAGCACGAGGAGCAAGAGAAGCTCGGCCGCGTAATTGATCTGAAGACATGTTGTCAATGTTAGCATGCGAGCTTTCTGACACCGCGGGGAGGCACTTGGCGTACCTTGTTATATGCATCAAATGAGTCACTTGGAACCTCACTGCGGTGTCTGCCCATGCCATGATTGACGGCGACCTGAATCAGAATACTTTGAATAAGTGAAATAACCTGTGCTTGTCAGAGTGATTGTAAGTTGGCTCTAAAGGCAGTTCCTTGTACCATGCAGATCCAAATTGGAATGTCAACTGAAGGCACTGAGCGCTTCAAATAGATCATCGACGCGAGCTTAGCGAGCACCACAATTCCTGTACAGGACAGAAATATAAAGGTGAAAAGTGACACGATTGCGCCATGGTTATTTGGCGTAATCTGCCCCAGTGGCGGCAAGAGAGAGGGCTCCGCCATGGCAGCCACAAGATGGGTAATGGCAGTAATAGCACAGTCAAAGAATCAGACACTCCAATGAAGTGAAAGAAACAAGACGTTGACATCAATATAAAAGCATTTTGGCCAACTTCTGAGCGGAAGAGGGAAGACCTTGAGCAGTCAGACCGCACTCGCACCCCTGCGTGCTTGCTGCCCAGGGACCAGGGCATCCTATTTCAAATCCAACATCAAAAGGGCCTTTTCCGCCAAATGGAAGAGATCTGCAATCGGAAACAAACTGTGGCCGATTCGCAATTTCAAATTGACCGGGTTCGATATTAGTCCGCGTGTGGTGACCAGGATGCGCGCAACGGCGTCATGCTAAGCCAGGATAAGCGGCCGGGGTTTGTCGCACTAACTGATCGCTATGTTCCCCCCTCCCTTTGCCTCCTGGCTGGCATTTTACCCTTTTACCGCCCCCTGCCGCCATCTGAGAGATTTCTTTTTCCTTCTCGCATCAAACTCTCCCTCGTTCATTGGGCACGACAGTCTGCTGTGACTCTCCATCAAAGATGGATAACAACGGGATTGAACTGACCTATGGCCATGGAAACGGGAATGGCTTCAAGTCGCCCCACGACAACATCGTTGAATCCAAACATTCCCAGGAAAATGGATACCAGTCAAAGCCACGCCTGGAGGTATGCATACAAGGAAGAAAGATGGCCTGCGACCTAACCGCAAGCAGAGATATCTCGGTTTCCTGCCTATGCTGGCATTCGCAGCAACCCTCCAGGCATCCTGGGAGGCTATCGGGGCCAGTATGTTTGCGGTTTTAGAGAATGGAGGGCCCGTCGTCCTCATCTATGGGCTCATACTGGCGATTGTGGGTTCTCTGGGCATTGCCCTTTCTCTCGCCGAACTCGCATCGATGTGAGTAATCTGTTAGATAACAGATGAATGGCTTCTGATATAGTAGTACTCCTGTGGCTGGAGCCCAGTATCACTGGACATATGATCTCGCACCGTTTGCGCCTCGATTTCTCAGCTTTATCCAAGGTGTGTCTCACAACGAAATACATGAGCCTGGCTGACCAAGTATAGGATGGATTACGGTATGAAAATATCCACAGACGCTAAAACGATACTGACGAGGTAGATGTTCTCCTGGTGGGCAAACGTGGCCACCTCTCCCTACCTGATCGGCACGCAGATCCAGGCTCTCGTGATACAAAATCACCCGGAATATGTTCCTAAGTCCTGGCACGCAACCCTCATTATCTGGGCGGTCCTTCTCATCCCTCTGGCTGTGAATATCTATGCCCGTCGCCTTCTGTCACCCGTCGAGGTGATGGGCGGTATCATCCATATTCTATTCTTCCCAGCCGTCTTGATTACTCTGATCGCCTTGGGGCCCCGCAACTCGTCGGAATTCGTCTGGACACATTTCGAGAACTCCATCAGCGGCTGGCAGAACGACGGGGTCATCTGGTCTGTGGGACTTTTAACGGCAGTCTACACTCTGGGCGGTACATAACTGGTTCTTTCCCAGCCACCCATCTCTGCAATTGTACTGATATTGAATAGGATTTGACGGCGTCGTACACATGGCCGAGGAAGTCCGGGACGCCCCTCGCGCAGTCCCTCGATCAATGGTCTACAGCGTGCTGATCAACGGCTGCGTCGCTCTCGGATTCACCATCGGACTCATGTACACAATGGGCAGCCTGAGCGACGCCCTCGAGACTCCCACCGGCTACCGGATCCTCGAGATCTTCTACGCAGCAACCAAATCCAACGCCGCCGCGTCAGTCCTAATGATGACGCTCATCCTCCCGGGTTTCATCGCGCTCTTCAACGGTCTCGCCTCTGTGACGCGGCTCACCTGGGCCTTTGCCCGCGACGAGGGCCTCCCCTTTTCCAGCTTCTTCGCGTACATCTCCCCGCGCTACAAGATCCCGCTGCGCGCGCTTTTCCTCGTCGCCATGATCACCGTGCTCCTGGCGCTGATCAACATCGGCTCCACCACCGCCTTCAACGCGCTCCTGTCCCT